TTGAAAGTATTGGCACCTGTCCTCCCAAACCTGCCTGTTCCATCCTGGCTGCCTTAGAAGTGACCGTTCTAGCCACACCGAGTCCATGTCCGAGTCCTGGAGACCCCGGCTTCCCTCTGACCTTCCCTGGGTCCCCACCTGCCACCTCTGATGGCCCTCAGAGCTGCTACAGCATCCACTTCTCGTGTCCCCGGGGCTGTGCCTCGGTGTCATTTCCCGGGTGCTCCTGACCCAGCGCTGGCCGTGTGGCCTTGGCACTAGGGCGGAGACATTCGGGAGGAAGATAAGCAAGAGGAGCCTGGGTATCCCAGGCAGACCCTGCCCGGCACCTGGGACACACTGGTATCTGGATCTGACTTTGTGAGGGCTATGCCGGTGAGGGGTGGATGCGTGGAGGGCGGTAGTGCAGCTGGATCTGTTTGTTTTTAAGGACTGTGGAGAACGCACTGGAGAGTCCCAGGCTTGGCCACTGAGGATCCTCAGGAGGTATCACCCGGAGGGAGAGTGGTGTGGGCAAGGCTGGGAGCAGGGCAGGGAAGGTCCTGGGCTCTGGGAGCGGTTCCTAAGGGACTGGTGTCCCGGCAGCAGCAGCAGCAGCAGGAGGCTGTGCAGGCTGTGAGAGGGAGGGGCCGCCTGTTGGTCCTAGCTCGTGGTGCTGCCTCATGGTGCTGCCTGTGTGACCTGTGTGCCACAGGCATCCACCCCTTGGTGCTCGTCCGGGAGTCCACCGTGCTGCTCTGGGACACGGAGTCCAGGAGGGAGAATGCTTAGGGCCGCAGAGCACTGGCGAGCTGCTGGCGGAACAGCGAGGACCCACGAGAGCCTTTGGCTGCTGTGGCTCTCAGGCCTCCCTCCCCGTGGCCGCTCCTTCCCAAGTACGCCTGGGAGCCCAGACCGACACCAGAAAGCCTCCTAATTCGACTTCCTCCAGATTGCTCCTTTTCTTTTCCTTAATCATGTATACAATAAGAAAACTCCTTCCAGAGTATTTAATACAGGTTTGAATCCCTGTGGTTGCGTTTCTTCTCTCCAGATGTTGAATTCTGCGTGTTTGTCATTCTTTTTCCTCTGGTCTTGGTGATGAATGAAGCCTGTCAGAACTGGGTGATTGATTGGAATCCTTAACAGCTCTAGTGGAAGGAAAGAGGAGTGTTATAGGAGTATGGAATATCAGAATTGCACAGTACTTCTAAAATGTAAAAGGACTTAAAAGTTTAAAAATCTTTAAATTTTAGAAAAAATTTAAGTATTTTTAATTTTAGGTTTTAATATCCCTTCATTTACTAGTTAAGGAAATTGAGGCTCAGAGTTGAGTGATTGCTGGGAATAAATGCAGTGAGTGTTAGCAAGCGTAGAAATGTGAAATTGGTGCTGTGGGAGATCTCGTACTGGCTGACAGTTGGCACGTGGGGCAGGAGGACTTTGTCACCACGAGAGAATGCCGAAATATCAACCGATCAACTGTAAAGGAGAAAATGTTGAGCAGTTTTAAGTGTTGCAACAACCACGTCTTTCTGTTTAGCACAGTGAAGTGACTTGCGTGGAGTCCAGGGTCAGGACGGGAGGGAGGGCTCAGTGTTAGGGACATGGACTGTGACTTGTGGTAAGTTGTCACCAAATAGTGATCGTGACTCAGATTGTTCCTTGCAGAAGAGAAAATCGTGCTCTTCCCTTCATGAGTTGTGGGTGTACCAGATCTGCCTTGTGTGCGCCAGGTGAAACCAGGGTAGCCCCTCCTGCCCCGGAAGACCTTGGCTGCTGCCCCCGAGGGCAGTCGGCTCACGGCCTCGGCCCTGGTGCTTCCCAGTTCTCTTCCTTTACTCTGAATTTTGACTTTGCTTTCCTTTTGTTCCAGAGAGTTTTTTAAAGGAAATTTTAGGTAACATTCTCAATTCTTTTCTGTCTTCCTTGTCCTTTGTATTGTGTGGGATAAGTCAGAGTGAGGCGTCTTTGTAGTTAGTGCCCTCGGGGTGTTTGAGAATGCCCGTCTTCTCTGGACACAGAACTGTGTATCTTCACAAAGGCAGGCCGGCCCTTGTCTCCTCTCCCCAGCCTTGGACCCTGCCAGACTCCGGAAGAGTTAAAGCTGCTCCACCCTGACCGGATTCTGTCGTCTTCTCTGTGTGTCTGAGGGTTTAACTTCAGGTTTGACTGCTGTATTGCCTGTCTGTATGTTTTATTTAAAGAAATACAATTAGAATTGAATAAATGGAGAGAGAATATACAACTGGATGGGGAAATTACTATTCTATAGATGAGAATCCTCAACTTAGGCAATTCTAATCAGAAACTCAGAAGTTTTTTATTTTTTGAAGAAGTGACTGGTTAAAGTGATAGGTATGAGAGTACAGGTGATCAAAATTACCTAAAAAGTCTTTTAAAAATGAAAGTAGTTGTGGGGGGGTTCCTTATCAGGTGTTAAAATTGCTGTCATGCTATAGTGATACAGTGTGTGATACAAAAAGTACAGAATCAGGCCAGCTGACTCTAGTGGAACAGATTGCAGCAGTGTAAGAAAATAATACATACGAAGGCTGACTCTCATTTCACTGGGAAAGGGAATGTTTACTTGATAGGATGTTAGCATAATTGGCTGTTTCAAAGAGAACAAATTAGGATTCTGCAGATGAAAAATCAGAGTGGAAAATGCCAGGATAGTAGAAATTTTAGGAAGCAGTGTGATTTTGAGACAGGGAAGACCTTCACAGACCTGGCAAGAAGTGGGGGGGACATAAGGAAAATACTGACATACTTAACTTCATAAAATTTAAAACATTCTTTCTGGCAGAATATGCCATGAATTCTGTCAAAATACTTTATCACACCTGTGACAGCCAAAGGTGTTACTCCCAGTCTTCAGATAGGGTAGCAGGCGATCCAGCAGGAGACAGAGAGGCGGGGTCTCGAGAGCAGGCGGCTCACAGCAGGGGACGCGTGAAGACAGCCATGGGCTCTGAAGAGGGCAGGGGAGCAGCAGAGTCTGTCTGGGCGGGACTGGACTGGGACTGGGAGGACAGGGATGCACAGTGCGGAGTGGGAGCCTTCTCAGCCAGGCTGAGTCTTCCCTTGAGTTCTCGCCTCCATCCTTGGGGAGTGCAAGCACCCCGACTGCATGTGTGAGGACATCCACCTACTACAAAATGACAGCAACAGGGTGGAACGTATCCCTGAGTCTATAAAACAGGGAAGGGGCTGAACAAACTGCATTCATCGGTAGCACACAATATATGATGTTTATAAAAAGAATGCCTTAGGTTGCATTTATTGATTAGGAAAAAACTTCTTGATTAACTAGAAAAAGAACAAGTTTCAGGGGGATGTGCATAGTACGCTCACATCAGAAGCACGTTCTACATGGTTGTGGAGGGAGATGAGGGTGGACAGGGACGGTCATGGATGACTTAGCTGACCAGGGTGGAGGACAGGAGGAAGTCCACATGACTCACTTTTAATAGTCAGTACTATGCTTTTTGTCTTATTAGAATAGTAAAGTTTATTATTATTAAAAACCCTTGACTATGTCATAACCCTACTCACGTCTGTTCCCTTCTGTAAAGTAAGCACTTTCTGTTTGCCTGTGCTGGTGCACTTTGACTCTGGGGGAGACCAGGAGAGGCCTTTGTCCTGTTTGTTCCTGCGGGTGAGGTGGGGTGGCTTGCTGGACTCCTCCTGAGAGGACTTTGCCTTCTGTGCCCTGGCCTGTCCAGCTCCCTACCTCTTTTCCCTGCCTGTTGTATTTCTGCGACCCATCACCCAGCCACTTCCCAGCCCAAACCTGTGCCTGTCCTGTTTTGTTTGTGTCCGTCCAGTATGACGACTGGTAGAGAGAAATCACAGGGCCCCACAGTTGGAGACCCTGGGTGTTAGTGGTCTCCAGCCCCAGCTGCTGGTGACCCTTTCACTTCCCCTTGTTCCCTCTCCTTACAGGCACGAGGTAGTTCGGCCTCTGTGGCCTTCAGACCTCTCATGCTGCCCCTGTTCCTTTCAGCGGCAAATGGCTGGGCCTGTTCCCCTGGAAAGTGGACCCACAAAGGATGCTCAGTCTCCTCCTCCTTGGGGAGGCTCTCTGGCATCCAGCTGCCTGTCTCCATGGGGCTCGCTTGCTGCGCAGCCCCTCCCTACCATCTCCTGTGTCCCCACGGACCCCCATCCACGTGTCCCCAAGAGCAAACACTGCCCGCTGCAGCCCAGCCTCGGGGCCTTTTGGCGCTCTCTGACCTCACTGTGTCTGATGCACTTGTGGATGATGGGCAGGGGAGGACACTGGGGCAGATAATGAGAAAGCAGCACGTGCTACAGAGCAGTAAGCTCGAGGAATAAAAAGGAAAGACAAGGTGCAGCTGACTCAAGACCTGGGGTGGGCAGATGAAGGTGTCCTTGTTGAACCCACCAGCTCCCCTGCTCTGGTTTCTTAACGACACTTAGAAGCCTGTTGCCATACTTCGATATCTATGTTCTGAAAGCAAATAAAAGATGAAGGCTTATCTAAACCAGTGCTTCCTCCGCGTGTTCTGTAGAGCACTGGCTGCGGTCAGCTTGGGAAGTGGTCACTTGCTGTGCACACTTGTGAGTGCGGGGAGGCAGCGTGGCGCTTCCTGCTTTCTGACCCTTTGGGGCCCTCTTCTGTGCTTTCCCGCCTTTCCCCAATGTGAGCGGTGTGTCCTGAGGAAAATAGCGCGAGAGAAATGTTGGAGACGGAAGCCAGTGGTTTGTGATGCCGAAGAGAGCCGCCAGGATGCAGATGCGCGATGAGGGCCTGAAGGGCTCTACTGACCCCTCTGCTTGCTCTGCTGAGACTGCACGTTTTAAACCAGTTTTTAAAAAGATCAAGTGACGTTTGACTAAGGACATTTTGGAGGAAATAAACTGTTCTGTAAACAAGCATAGGAGAGTTCTGTATTTGTGGGAAGCCACCCTGTGGTATGATTTTAAGGTCCTTTTGGGTCAACCTGGGCTTCTCCTACTGTTCTTGAGTCCCATTTTCTTGTCTTCTTTTCCAGCGGCAGCCGCTTGGGAGGTCTCGTGACAGTGTCATGCTTCTTTTTCAATCACGGAGAGGTAGGTGCTCAAAATATTCCAGAACCTTTCTTGGAACTACAGGTTTCTGCTTTAATTTCTTTTAAATTGTATCTGTAGTAGCATTCTTTAAATGCTTACTATTTTGATCTATATTTATTTGTTATTTATTTTCACTTAACTTTTTGTGCCCATCTCGTGCCTGTTTCATCTCCTGTGATATAATCGGTTGTGACTTCAGGAAATGGTGGATCTGTAACAAATTTTGCATAACTTTTAGTTATGAAATATCATGTTTTAGGAATAATATAATTTTTTAAAAATGTGATATTGGGGATGGAACCCAAGGTCTTTGCACTGAGTTGCATCCCCACCCCTTTTTTGTTTTTTGAGATAGGGTCTCACTAAGCTGCTAAGTTGCTCAGTCTGGGCTTGAACTTGCAATCCTCCTGCCTTGGCCTCCAAGAGTGCTGGGACTGTGGGCCTGCACCACCACATTCAGCCAGGGATCATACACTCAAGTATCCTTTGCAGGACAGTTTATTATATAGACAGAGTTTCATATGCTTAAGGCCTTTAAAGACAACAGCATTACAAAGCTCATGGACTTGGATCCAGGCTGCTTGGTTCAGATCCTGACTCCGCCATTCAGTGGCTGTTCCACCAGAGCACCCAGTTATATTTATCTCTTTGTGCCTCAGTTTCTTCTTTGAAAGTAGAGTCTCATGATTATCACAAAGCTAAGTTTTGTGAAATTGTTAGAGTGAATTGTATTTCATTTATTAGTATTACTCGTAGTTTAGTTAAAATTAAAATCGAATATAAAGTGCCCAATCATTTCTTCCTCTAAATTAATTGTAGCTGTAACTGAATTTCTGTTAATGTATCTCAGTCCACATTTCTTTCTTGGGAAGGTTTATGGGGAGGGCACCTAGAAAGGTCGGTGGCTTTGTATGAATTCGCCCTATCTATCTTAGCTCTTACCCTGTGACCGCAGTGTGTGCATGTGTGCGTGTTCTGAAGCTCTCAGGATGAGGATCATGCCCGCACTTAATGCTCTTGGGCTTTTTAAAAATCAGCAAGTCCCTGTGGATATTCGCCTGGAACACGGTTTTAGAATCACAGGAATACACTGATGGAAAGGGCTTAGGGTTAGAGCAGAGTGGCCTGAGATCCTCGGTGTCCTGTGAGCTGGAGAATGCGCTGGCTCCTCCTGCCCACGGCGCACTGGGAAGCTGGGATCCTGTGAGCATGACCTAAGAAGTGGGGAATAACAGCTCAGTAAGGAAGAAGGGCGCCTTGTGTGCGAACAGGGAGCGCTGGAGGGGAGGGCTCAGGGACGCTGGGGAGCCTAGATGCAGTCAGAAAGGCCACTGTTGGCCACGCACAATGGCCCGTTGTGTTGCGCTCGGAGCCGCTGCGTGATCCGTCCGAGCTTATGTTGTCCTACAGTTCTGACACTCGTGCAGCGTGCACATCACGTCGCACGCAGACTTTGCCGTTTTTGACAGTGGGGTCCACTGTTCAGATTTTCTTTTTAGTATTTTTCAGCTACTTGGTTCTTTAAAGGCATCACTTTCTTGGAAAATGGTAAACTAAATGTGATTAGAATTTAAAAGTATATTTATATGTGACTGTAGCTTTAGGGTAAAAAAGTGACCTTTTCATGTAATGATGTACATTAAAATTTAGAGCATTAACTGCAGTTTTAGGCAAAACATTGGTGAGACAATCGGCAATTAGACATAATTTTATATGTGTTTTGACTGTCAGATTATGGGATTTTTCAGACTTTATATTTTCTGATTTTAAAAATATTGCATAATGTATATAATTTCTTACGAGGGGAGGCATCTACTCTGGTGATATTTTCATGTATATAATGAATTTTTGTACAGCTTTGTTCACTGGAATTGCTGTTGGTTAATGAGTGGTGCCTTACTTTTTGAGAAGAGGTACTTTAGTCACTTGAGTGAATGCTTTATGTGTCCCAGAAGAGCTCTGAATGACTGCTTGCTGTCAAGTTCGGTTTCCTGTCTTCATTTGCCCTGAATTGGATCTAAGATGGTATATGATATATTTTTAAAATTTTGTTTTCCCATGGATGGTTTTACAGGGAGGCATTTTACCTTAACAAAAGAACTATACAGTGGCGTAGCAGTAACAGGTGAGTCACATTATTTGAAACAGAATCAAAACCTTCCAATTAGTAAAGGAAGCCCTCGTTAGAGTCGCCAGTGAGGAGTGAGGCTGGCTGTGCCAGCCGGCAGGCTGCTGTGTGGTCTCCCGCGCCTCTCTCGGGGTCCTCCTCACTGCTGGTGCATGCCGAGTTTGTTCTGCTGCAGGATGATGAGGGGGCTGTTTTTTATTTTATTTCTTTTGTGGTACCAGGGGACTGAACCCCAGGCTTTCAAACTGAGCTATAGCCCCAGATCTTTACAAAACCTTTTTTATTTTGAGAGAGTCTCACAGAGGTGCTCAGTTGCCCAGGCTGAGCTTAAACTCAGGATCCTGCCTCATCCTCCCTGAGGGCTGAGATTATCCATATATAAGGCTCTTACATATTTATTGAAAAGCATTTACCTGAGAATAAAGAAAGTCTAAATCAGTGTTGTTCTCTAATTTTTGTCTGTTAGAAATTCTTCTTGTGAAATAGGATTGTTTAGCTTTTCACAATGATATTTTAAATTATTAAATACAATTGATATTTCATATAAAATGTGTTCACATACATGTAGATATGAACATATAAGGAAATGGTTTTTTAAAATGTATTCTCCCTCCGCTTCCCTGCTTTCTTTCCTTGCATCTCTCTCTGCTGCTTTCCCGTGTTAGTTGGGCTCTGCTCAGGATGTGGGTTCTGGGCCTTCTGCTGTTGGACTCACTTGCAGGACTGTGCACTGTGTGCCTGGTCCTCCTCCATGCCAGGCGCCCCGACCTGGTGGGTGTGGGTAAGGACGGGCCCCTGGGCCTTTGAGTGTCTGGCCAGTGAGGGCAAGGGAGAGGCCCTCAGGGAGCAGCCGGGAGCTGGCAGAACAGACGCTGTCATCCTTTTAGCTTGCTGAGAGTCTGTTTGGAGCAGATGGGAAAGCTGCTGGAACATAGAGCTCCACAGTGACATGATCAGAACGACTTTTGTGTCAGGTTGTAAACTGTGTAAGTGCACCATTGATTGGTGTTATCTGTGGACTTGGGAGCTTAAATTAAATTTATAATAACTCCAAAATTAAAAAGAAAATAATGTTAATTCACAGTGTATTAGAAAACCAGCCTGCAGCAATGCTTGTGCCCTGGGCCTGCTAGATGCTAGTGTTGTTGCCCATCACTGCCCAAGCTGCTTTTTCCTTCTCCATATTTTGCCTCCATTCTGCTGGTTTCCTTACTCCAGTTCCTGGACGGAACACTTCTTTTCTCCCTTGGACCTTTGCATATGCTCTCTCAGTCTGGGTCTCATGTACTCCCTTGTCCCTTGCCCCTTGCCCCTCCTACCTGTCCTCCACAGCTGGATGGTTCAGGTTGCATTCCTATTGTGGCCTTCATTTCTTCTGCAGATCTGAGTACACTTTGTACCATTTTGTTTCATTTTGAAGACTTTATGTAGCACGGTGGTGAAGATCTGCTGCAAACACAGTCATAGTTTTTAAATCTGTTCTAAATGTGCATATTTTGCCTTCATTTCTTTGAAATGTATTTTTTGCTGGATGAGAATTCTAGGGTAACAACATTATCTTTCAGCATATGGAGGCATCATGCTCGTTTCTTTTTCCATTGTTTGAGGGCTCGGCCAAAGTCCCCATTGTTCTTCCCTCCCTGAATATAACATCTCTCTGGTGGCTTGCAGGTCTTCTCTGTGTTGGCTCATGAGTCTTCTCTGTGGTACCTCGCGGGTCTTCTATGGTGGCTTATGGGTCTTCTGTCTGGTGGCTTGGGGGTCCTCTCTGTGGTGGCTTGTAAGTCTTCTCTGTGGTGGCTCACAAGTCTCTGGAGGCTCAAGGGTCTTCTCTGGTGGCTCATGGGTTTTTCTTTGTGAGGAAACAGGTGTTCCTACTGTGACAGCTTACAGGTCTTCCATTGACCACTGATTTTTCTTGGTATGATGGTGGTGAACTGGAGGTGCCCTCCTGTGTGTGGACCCTGTTCCAGGTTCACTGAATACCACTGATCCATGGGGCAGCTATAATTGGTTGTGGGAAATTATTTGTTTGTATTTTCTCTTCATATATTTGATCTTCCTCATTTTCTCTCATCACCTTTGGGAATTCCAATAATATGAACAGTTACATTCAGCTTATTTTGGTATTGACACTTCTGGTGTTTTTCTCTCTTGTGGCTCCTTTGGGCTGTTTCTCTTCCCATGGCCCAGAGCTCTCTCTGTTTGGACTGTTGTCCTCACTGTCTGGTGAAGCTTTCTTCCTTTATCTTTTTCCTTCTTTCCTACTTTAGAATTCCGTTTTCCCCACAGGGCTTCCATATCTTTGTTGAAACTTCCCATCTGTCCATCCATTCTATCTATACAATTCTATACATTTTTTCCCCCTAATTATTATAGTTGTTTCGGACATTATCTTCTAATGCCAACATTGTATTACTTATTTTGTTGAAACTTCCCATCTGTCCATCCATTCTATCTATACAATTCTATACATTTTTCCCCCTAATTATTATAGTTGTTTCGGACATTATCTTCTAATGCCAACATTGTATTACTTATGGATGCAACTCTGTTTTCTCCTGATCATGGGTCATCTTCTCGCCTTTATTTTATGCAAAGCATTTTGTGTAAAGGGTGCAGACTGAGCTAGGACCTCCACCCGGGGCATCTTTTCACCCGTCATTGAGCCTGAAGATCTGGATTCCTGTGTGTGCTGCTGGGCAGGGCAAAGCTGCAGTTTGAATTCATGTTATGTTTTATGCAGTTTAAGTAGAGATCAGTTGGCCTCTGGGCTTGGTCTCCAGCGGTGCGCTGCTCAGTTTGGGCTGGTGCCTGTGGTCTTACCAGTATTTGATCTGGAAGTAGATGTGTTATCGAGTGTTTAGAAATGGCTCACCAACAAAAGTATCCCAGGTTCTTCTTGCCTCCAACAAAGAACTAGACAAAACAAGCCAGAAGCAGTGCCAAAACATTTATTTGAAAAGTGAGAGGTGAAGGGATAAGGAAAGAGAAACTAGCTCTGCAGAATGAACTTGGGCAAACGAGAGAGAAGTACACATTGTGTCTGAAACGCAGCACGGCCATCGTGGGGAGTTAGGCTAGCACATGCCTGTGGCGACCTCTTCTATGCTGTTCATATCTCGGGGGAGGGCGAGAGAAGTTCTTCCTAGGGGTCCTGGGACCCAGGGTGGACAGGTCCTGCCCATGTCCCAGCCGGCTGCCGTGCCCCGTCTCCTGTCTCAGATTCCCTTTGGGCTTCTCACCCAGCTGGTGCCCATCTCTGGATTCAGCTCCAGCAGGCCCAGGAGCCTGTGCACTGTATGAGATGGTGAGACCTGAGTCCTTCTCCCCCTGCTGCTCCTTGCTGTGCTGGCTTCCAGCTTGAGTTTTAAGAAATCTCTTTTCTACTGGCTCCAGCCAGAACCTTCTGTCTTTGGCAGATCTGCACCTCAGCTGGGCGCTTGCCCCGGGTGTGAAGACGCAACCAGCAGCTGCGGTGCATTTAGCGGCATCGGGGCCACTGTGACTCTCGTGGTAGAAATCAGCACAGGAAGACTACTTTCTTCTGTGGCTTTTCCCCTCCAAATTATTTTGAAAAATTGAAGCCTAAGGAAAAGTTTTAGATTTGGTTTCACTACCAGTTCCGTATTTTGCCTCATTTACTTCCTCTCTCTCATACATGTCCTACATCCGCAGAGAAACTTCTGATCCATTGAAAACAAGTCACACTTCATGGGCTCCTCTCCCCTAAAGCAAGGACGTGCCTCCTGACCCCACACTTGAGAGGTGTGACAGTGACACTCATGCAGTAGTCGTAATATGGGCCGTATTCACATTTCCACACTTGCCGCAGTGAGCCCCTTTATGCTTCTGTGTGGCGTCGTGCATTGGGTTTGGGACCAGTCCTCTCCTGGAGCTACCACCTCATCTCCGAGACGGTCCGTGTGGAGCAGTTCCTCTGCCTTCTGTTTTCTTTCCCCTTCCCTGGGCGCTGACGTTTCTGAGGAAGGCCAGCAGTTGGACGGGGCGGGTCCGAGTCCGAAGAGAGGCAGTGTTGTGGAGCCCTAGTCATGGTGCCTCGGGCCGAGAGACTGTTTTCTCCGTCAGTGAAGTTCCCACATCTGTCGGTTTGGAGGGTGTCAGAGTCAGCCACTGTGAAGGTCCTTGTAACATTTACCAAGTGGTCTCGGTGCCCACGACGCTCCTTGACTGAGTCAGGTGTTACACTGGCCATCCCAAATGGCAGTGTCCTAATTCTTTCATTTTTATCTACATTTAAAAATCACTGTTTTTATGAGGACAGCCCCCCCAGCCGTTTTTTTTAACTATTACTATACATGCACAGATTCTTTTTATGTTGTTTTAAAATCCACTTACATCATAATTCCTCTTGTGTTTCCCGGGAGGAACCCTCCTTTAAGATGATAATTTTAATACATTAAAATTGGCGTCACCTAACCGTCCAGCTCAGCAGAGCTTACATATGTGCGCAGTCACGTAGCCATGATCCAGATCAAGATACCGGCTACTATGTTGTATTTTCCACTTTTTATTGTGATAACATATACATAACATTAAATGTCATCATCATAGCTAGTTTTCAGGGCACAGCTCTGTGCTAGGAAGTGCATCTGTGATGGTACGTAACCGTGGCCACCATCCATCTCTGTTCTTTGTCTTCCAGAACTGCAGCTCTGTCCTCTTAACAGCGACTATAGCCTTTCCCCACCCTGGCCACTATCATCTGTTTTCCTTCTCTTTCAAAATGTTTGTTAGTACACGTTTGCAGCACAGCGTTTACGCTCACCTTAAAGGCTGGTGCATGCACATAACTCGTCTTCTTACTTCTCTCCCTCTTCCCCTCAGCTCCTCCTCCCTCCCTCCCTCTGTCTCTGGAGCCTTTCCCTTTTGCAAAACATCTGTCTCTATTTCCCATTCTGTATGTTTTATTTTGTTTTACAAATTGTTTATACTTTGGGTTTCTCATGTAAGAGAAGTTCTGTGATAGTTAATGTTCTGTGTATCATTTGTTTCACTTAGTACTGTTGACATGTATCCCTTGTCCTACGAGTGACTCAGGTATGTCCTTAATGGCACAGTGTACTCCATCACATGTAAATAGCACTTTCTTTATCACTCACCTGTCGGTAGACATACAGGCTTCTGCCAAGATTCAGCATTTATGAATTGTGCTGCTGTAAATGTGAGTGTGTGTGAAGATACTGGCTGTTTCAGCCCTTGGCAGGGTCTCCTCACCCTATAGGAGTGCTTGGCACTTTGGTGTTCTCTCTCACTGTGGAGACCCTTGGCCTGCTCAGGGCTGTGTAAATAGAGTGGTCCTTTCTGAGGTCTGGCTTCTTCCTCCCAGCCTGTGTCTGCAGTACTTTCCATGTAGTTCTCCACAGTGCTGCTCACCTCTTCCTATGTTGTGGAATCCGGAAGTTGCTTCCTCCACTCTCCTGTCAATATTGCTCTTGGCTTTCCTCTTAATTTTAGTAATTCTGATGAGTGGAACCTGCCCTTCTGCAGTTTGAGTTTGTAGGTCTTTGATGAGTGCTCCTGGAGAGAACCTTGTTTGCTGCTTATCGGATTTAGATATTCTTCTCCATGGTTCCCAGGCAGTGTGGTACCCTCATGGAAAAGAGCACTTTCCCCATGAAGTTGTGGTGGTTTGCCATCCAGAAGATGACTGTAGGGATGATCTAGAAATGCAGTGTGTGTTTAATCTTTTAAAATATCGCAGTAAAAGAACTTCGCCAGGCACCCCTCACACCTCTCCCCTCACCTCAGACACACTTGCCCATCAGCCTCGTCACTTTCCACAGCAGTTCTGGAAAGTCCTCCTCCTCGAGTGGCTGTAGGAAGTGTGAGCGCCTACAGATGCAGTGGCTGCTGCCCCCAGCACCATTCAGTGGAAAGCAGGCTGATAAAAACGCAATGCCGCATCCTCATCCACCGCATGCCTGAACCCCACCGACACCGTGCGGCTTCCTGCTCTTCCCTATAGACAGGATGACTGAAAGGGGAAGCATTGTTTTGAGTCGATTTAGGACATAAGGCAGCACATCTAGAGACCCTCAGGAAAGAGGACTTCTAGAACTGCTTCAGAAAGTGGCGAGAAGGATGGATAAGTGTTTTTGAAGCAAGGGAGAGTATTTTTAAGTGGAGTCATGGCACTGTGCCTTTTGCTGTAATGATACTTATTTTTTTATTTGTTTGTTTATTTTGGTGCTGGGGATCGAACTCAGGACCTTGCACTTGCCAGGTAGGTGCAGCACCACCCAGCTGCATCCCCGGCCCAGTGATGTAAAAGTATTTCAGCATTCACCTTATGTCTTTGATCACGGGTAATATTTTCTAAGTTTGTTTCTAGCCTTTCAATCTTTCTATATTAGTCTTTTAAATCTTCAAGCCAGTGTCATACAGTGTTAAATATTGTGACTTTCTAAGTTTGCTCTCTGGTGGTGAAGTCTCCAGCTGGCACATGGCTGTTCTGGGCCTGTGTGTTTCTGTGTAAGTTTTAGGATCACTCTGTCACTGCTGCTTCCTTTTTCAACTTGTGCACAATTTGCACACAATTTTAATTGTGGTCACTGAAACTCCAAGTCAGTAGGGAGAACTGACACCCCAAACATGTTGAGTCTTCCAGGACACCAGCGTGGCTATGTTTCACCTCTCTTCACGTGTGTCAGTTTGTGTGTGTCTGTCGTGCCCCTCATATCTTCCGTTGGCTAATTCCTGGGTCTTCTGTGCTTTTTGGATACTGTTCTCAATTATTTTTTTTGGTACCAGGGATCAAACTTGGGACCTTGCACTTGTGAGGCAGGTGGCGGAACCACTGAGCTAAATCTTGGTCGTACTGTTCTCACTTCTTTTGAACATTCTTTCAGCCTTTAAACATTTCCTTTGTGGCACAAAAAGTATTTACAAGATCGCCTTGTACTTTCTTGACCCAGATACAGAATCTGGTATTGTCCAAGGAATACTGGATTCTGTCAGGGGAAATGGTATTTAGTGAGCACAGTCTTGGGTTGCTGGGGACGCCCCAGTCACAACACTCACAGTCACCAGGTGGGGGTCGCCCAGGTGCCTGAGCTCCGTGGAGGACTGGCAGGAGGATGTGGGGTGTGCACAGCGCAGTCCCAATCCTGAGGTCTCTTTCTCAGCGCTGTTTTGCACTTCCCACTTCTGTTCTTTGTGGGAAGTCTGGTTTCATATTGCACCATTTAAATGACGTGTGGAAAGTACTTCTCCTTGGCGTCTGTAAGTAGCAGCCTTCGCTAGGTGTGTCCTAAGGTGAATTTAGGGAGCTCTTCACACATTCTGAATGTTCTCGTTGCAGTGCACCCGCGTGATGTGGACCCCACCTCTCCGAGAAAGCTTCTCGTACCCTTTCCTTGTGCTTCAGATGTTGCTAGTGACTCATATTCTCAGGTAATTTTCACTCATTTTTAAATAATTGACACTACAGTTTAAGTTGCCATAATAAAACAGGTCAGCACTGTCCAGATGATCTCCTGTTGAAGTAGTGTAAAGATTTCCAGACCAAAATTTACACCGGGCGCCAAACACTGCGTCGTTCTGCCTCCACCCGGCTTCCCTTGTCCTCGCCGCTCAAGGCCACACGCCCACTCCCGCTTCCCGTGGCCGCCGCCCTGCGTCTGTTCTGTTATGGCCAGAGGAGGGGCTGGCCTGGCGGCTGAAGCCATCTCCTACCTTCTCGGCATCCGTCCCCAGGACCGCGTGGCCAACAGAAAGCCATCTTGGGGGTCCTCAGATGCTCGGAGAGCCCCTGCTGGAAATTCGGGGCCGGGCAAGGCTCGCCCCTGTTCTGGGGCCTCAGCCAGCAACTCTCTGGCCGAAGCCCGGAGTGGGCACGGACCGAGCTGCGGAGAATGGTGAGGGAACGGGCAGAGAGCGGTCAGCCTGAAGCTGCCTCTCACCAGGGCTCTGCCGCGTGGGAGGGTCCAGAGGCACCCTCGGGTCGTAGCAGGCTGGGCCCGTCTCTCCTGCACTGCCTGGTGCGGGTGTGGTGGCTTTCACGTGGTGAGCTCTGTTGTCTGCCTGTCCCCGGCCTCACTGCCTTGCCCTGAATCCTCTCGGGATGGGGTTCAGCGCTTCTGCAGCAGCTGCAAACACAGGACCACTGGACTGGCCACCGTGCCCTACGCCCCGGGAAGGGGTCCCCTGCCTGTCCCTGGGCGGCGGCCAGGACGGAGTGCTGTGGGAGGGTGAGTGCTGGGCGCTGGCCCCGCGGGAGGTCCTCGCTGCTCTCCCATGTCCAGGGCTGCGGGGAGGAGGCCTGCGGTCACTTTTTGTTTCTGTTTTATGAGTATGTGCTTGCGGTGTGTAATGTTTACATCCCATTTAGGGAGTCGGTACCTGTGCTTAACGTATTGCTTTTTATTCCCTGCTGCACTCCTCCCTACCCCTTTCTCCACCTCTAGATTCTTACTGTATTTATATTTTGAGTTTCTCATATGAGAGAAACCCTGTGATGTTTAAACTGTGTCTGATTTATTTCACTGAACACGTGGTCTCACGGTGCATCCATTCTCCCACAAAGGACCTGTTTGTCCTGTTCGGCGGAGTCCTCCCTGGTGTAGGACACCGTTTCTTCTTCAGCCATTGCTCGTGGTTGGACACATAGGCGGCTTCCAAGATTTAGCTACTGTGAATGGTGCTGCTGAAATATGGGTATGCGTGGGTCACCGTAGGTGATGCCTTTAGCTGTCTTGGGAAGAAGCCTAGAAGGGGAACAGCTGGGTTGAGTGGAATTTGTAGTTTTAGTTTTTGAGGAAGTTCCACACATTTCCGTAGGGGCTGTACTAGTTTACACTCCCACCAACAACAGTGGGGGGAGTCTTCCTTTTTCCCTGCATCCTCACTAGCATTTGTAATTGTTTGCTTCTTTGATACCATTCTTTCTGAGGTAAGATGAAATCTTGGTTGTCTTTAATTTGCATTTCTGTAATGGCCAGCGATGTTGGACGGTCTTTCTTGTATTTGTTGGCCATTTGTTCTTCTGAGATGTGTCCATTCATTTCAGTTGCCTATTGTTTGATTGGGTCTTTTATTTTGGAGGGTCTGGCTTTTTGAGTTCTTTGTAAATTCTAGATCCTAGTCCTCTGAAGAGTGTCTGGCAGACATTTCTCCCATTCTGCAGGCTTTCTCTTCAGCCCTTTGGCTTTGTCCTGTGATTTGGTGTGATTCCGTTTGCCCTTTCAGATGCTACTGGTGCAGTTCATATCCTGCCGCTTTTAAGAAGCTTCGTTACACCTGCCGCCTGCATAGTCTGGGCTCTGCTCCCCTTGCCAGGTGATGAGTGCTGGCCCTGGTCTGCAGCTGTGTCCCCTCTGCCTGGAAGTCCTGTCTTCCTGGAATTTGCTAGAGGCTGCTGTCCTGCCTGCCACTTTGGGGCTGCTTCACCTGCTGCCTGCTTCTGTTAGGGGCTGCTTGCTTCTGGCTTCTCTAGGTACTTCTGTGGCAAGCTGTTTATTTTAGCCCCCAAGGAGTTTTTCTCTTTTTTTTTTTGGTTTTTCTTTGTGGTACTGAGGACCACAAAGCTGAGGACCACTGAGTTGCATCCCCAGTCCATTTTTTATTTTTTGTTTTGAGATAGGATCTTACTAAGTCCCTAAGTTGCCCAGCCCCTGCTCTGACTTGCATCCTCTTGCCTCAGCCTCCCCAAGTGCTGGGATTGTAATAAGCTGCCTCTACACACACAGTAATCATTTTTATTTGGCCCCACCAACCGCCTTCTTTCTGTCTTTTGTTTCCCACTGAAAGCTTTAGGCTCAGACTCACCCTCCAGGCACCTTCCCTCAGTTCCAGTGGTGCGGCTCCTGCCTTGCCTGTGTGGCACTGGGGGCTGGTGTGACTGACTGCGGGAGCCTTGTCCCTGTGACTGTGGAGGTTTTAGCGGCTGGAGTCTGTGGCAGGAGGTCCTACCTCCCTTCTGGAGTGAGGCCACTCCTGCCTTTCCTCGAGTCCGCGCCTCCTCCCTGACATCTCCTCTGTCTGCTGATGCTCCTGGTTACCACAGGCCTTTCTTGTGGGGCGAGTAGCTGTCTCATCTCCTGCCGAGAAATGAGAAACTTATGGGTGGGGGTGGGGGGGCTGCTGGCCTGGAAGCCGCTGTGTGGATGTGGGCGAGGGGAGCGCGCTGCTGTGGAAGAGGCGGGAAACTGTTCCTCTGTCTGGGATCATTCATGAAGCCAGCAGGCTGTTTTATTTCTGCAAATTGGCCTTTTCCAGTTTTGACTGATCTGTGTTTTTGAGATGAGGTTTTTTGTTTTGTTTTGTTTTTTTCTGAGACAGGGTCTCACTATGTAGTTGAGACTGGCCTGGAACTCACTATGTAGCCTAGGCTGGAACTCACAGCGATCTTCCTGCTTCAGCCTCCCAAGTGCTGGGATTACAGGCACGCGCCACCACACCTGGTGTTTGAGATGAGGTTTTATATAAATCACAGATCCCGGTGCAGTCTTAGCTGTCTCTTGATGGTTCTCATCAGCGTTTGGACCTCCTTTCTGCTGTCGCGGGTCTGTGCTGTAACCACACCCTCGCCAGCTGGTCTCTGCTCTTCCATTCCTTCCACTCTGGAGTCCTGTGGCCAGCTGCAGTGTTAGGACCTGCGTCCGCTCCAGGGCCTTTGTTGATGATGCAACGAGTCGCATTAGTGTTCAGAGGCGGTAGCGGGGTGCGTTCCTCCTGGCAGAGACTTCAGTCTTTGTGACTGTGATCTGTAAGAAACACATAGGCTTTACACAGGGGCTGCTTGTTTGCATGCATGTTTGCAGACAAGCACACAACGGACATGGACGTTGCACAGGCTAGAACTTTTCATCATACATGTTCTGTAGGTCCATTAAAGAAGGCTGTATTTCACCTAGTTCTCTTGCTTTATATTTCACTAATCGGTTCCTGAGAGTGTAACACATTTCTGCTCGCTGAACTGCCAGTGGTGCGTGCATGGCTGTCCCATCGCTGGTGTTGGCTGGCATGGGATGATCCTGTGCATGTGGCCCCCTCGTGATGGAGTTCAGGATGCTTGGTTCGATTCGCATAGCAGAGAGAGGGTAGTCCTTTGGGGAAGGGATCTGGAAAAAGTAAAGAGAGGCATGAGTAACCCTCAGCAGGCGCCCTGACCTCCATCCACACTGCCTGTCGCCTCGGGATGTCCACACTCACTGTCCACCCCTGCAGAGATGCGGTATTTGGGAGCTTCAGCTGGCTCACAGGCCGAGGAGAAAGTGACTGTCTCATCCCCAGTCATGACCCTGCTGAAGCCAGCTCCAGACGGGGCCCTGCCTCGGCCTCCCCTGTCATCCCATGGAGCTCAGATCTCCCCAGCTGCCTGGGCCTGGGTGTGAAGTCCTGGAACCCACCTCTTCCTGTCACGTTCGTTAGACATCTTGTCGTTGCAACAAGTCAGTCTACATAATTGTTTAAAAATGTCTTATTTACAGTAAAATTTGAAAAATTCAGTGATTGTACTGCTCTGCTCCCCCCACCCCAGGCTGTGGGATTTCACAGTGAGATAGGTGCTTGCTTTGCACAGGGGAGATGTGACTAGGTCACTGGCTCAGTTTGCGTCAGGGCCTGTTGAGTTCTGATCTGCAGCAGCTTGTGGTTTTGCCAGTCTGTTCTATGATAAAGTCACTGAGACTTATTTTATCTTTTCAAGGGCTGCGAAACTTCACAGAGGAAGCCTGATTGCGCTCTGCCTGTCCAATGTATTCTTCATGCTTCCGTGGCAGTTCGCTCAGTTTGTGCTGCTTACCCAGGTGAGGTGGGCGTATTCTATTCTATTCTTTTCTATTATTTAGTTTTGGTACCGGGGATTGAACTCGGGACCTTGAACTTGCGAGACGGATGGCAGCACCACTGAGCTACATCCCTGGCGAGGTGGTTGTATTTAAAACCCATTTCAGCTTAATGTGTTTAACCTTGTGAAATAATTCACATTAAATTATAGCTGAGCTGTTAGTTGATTTAGGCCTAAAACTTCTCTAGTTAATGCTTTTAAAGAGTCCAAAGTGGAGAATGTGTAAGGGTTCTTCATGAATATCAGTTACTGACTTAGTAGAGCGCATAATTGAACTCAGATTTGTGAGAGTCTCGTCTTCGTTACTTAGCATTTGTCATCTCCCTTAAAAAGAGCTCCAGGCTATGACTTTAGTTTCCCTCCAGTGAGCGGAAGTATTTCTCACAAGCAGAAGGTGCTTGTGTCACGATGGCGCCTTACTGCCTCACTCCCAGGGAGCACCAGTGAGTCCTGGTTGAGCGCACTCCCTGCACCAGGCCGAGTGTGCCTGCGGTGGGCGGGCTTCTGCCTCTCATCCCGTGGAGGGTGGAGAGGAAGCAACCTGAGAGCCCTGGGGGGTGCTCTGTCCCCACACTGCTGCTTTTGCTTTCTGTTGTGCTGGGCCTGTCTGTACGAAGCAGCTGATGAGATGCTTTTTCTTTTGAGACGGAGTCTCACCGTGCAGATCGGCTGGCCCTGAGCTCCCTGCTGCCTCGTCCTGGCTCCCTTCCCATGCCCTCACCCTCCACCTCCCTGATAACTACCATTTATTTTTAATTTTGCTTTTCAAAATATTTTATTCTGGGCTTCTCATGCAACAGAAGCTGCAATATTTAACCTTCTGTGTCTGATTTATTCTACTTAGCATTGTGAGTTGCTTTTTAATATTGTGAGTTGTGAATGTGTTGCCTCAGAAATAGAGGCAGACCTGGGTTTGAGTCCAAGCTGTTCACTAGCTTTTTGACTTAGACAGAAAACTTATCTGATCTTAGTTCCAGCTTTCTCATTTCTGAACGAGGGAAAACAGAACAGCCTGCTTTCTAGGATCAGATGAAGTGACCTGTGTGAGCCCCTGGTAGTCAGCAGATGCCACTCATGGGACTGGTTGTTGCTGTGTTTTAGAAATTGGCTTGCTGTGTACTCACTTCTTCCTTTGATCTGGCCTTTAGAGTCCTTTGTCTTCTTAGCTAAGTGATGTTTAAGGTCTGCTTCTGGTTTAAATTGCCTCCCAATTCTCTGATTCTGCCCTTAGGTGTGGGGGTACTGCTCAGCCCCTGGAGTGGAAAGGGGTGTCCAGTGCAGGAGATGGCCTTGCTTTTGTCTTGGGGTTGTGCCCTGCCTCTCTGTGGAGCTCGTGTTGCCAGCGACTCCCCTCCCCTTGGTTACCCTGCCGTGCAGTTCTCCCCATGGCCACAGATGGAGAGCCTGGAGGGGTGGCTTGTAGATTTTCTTACTAATGGCAGCATCTGTTATAGTACTTGGGCTAGGAGACCAGATGAGTGGAACTTGGGGTGTCTGCCGTGCAGTGTGCCAGTGTGCTGTGTCCAGGAGGGGAGGTAGAGTGGGCGGAGGGACTGTGAACCAGGCTAGAGAGGTGCACTCTGGTGCCTTGCTTCATAAGCAAGACAGGGTCACGTGTCATCAGCTGATCCATCCAGATCATTCCAGAGCTCTTAGAGTTCTCCATAAACAGCATAATTTTCTCCAAAATCAGAAAGAAATTTAAAAATGCCTTCATAGTAAAAGCAATCTTTTTAATTTGAAATTTGCTTAATTTGATTACAACTAATGCTTGAATGCTTACATTAATGAAATAGAATGCTAGTGGAGATACTTGCAGTAGTAACTAAGAAGGAGAAATTAATGTATTTTTACACAAACATACATTGCCTAATTATTTTTAAATTTATTGTACCTTCGCCAATTATGTATTAGTAGTCATGTTGTAATTACATTTTCATCTGTTTATTGGACAGGGCACTTTTTATTGTACCTATTGACCGCAGAGTCAACCTGATATTAAAGTGAATTGTTTTGGGTAATCCACAAAGCAGGCAATTCCCATGGATAATTGAGAGAAGTGTGGATGGGAGAGAAAAGTCAGCCAGGATTTGCTACTTTGGAATATTGACCATTTTCTATAATAAATTGACAGAAAAAACTAAGGAATTCACTTTCTGTACGACTATGAATCAATTTTAAACAGTAATTTCTAGTTTATCCTTACAGGTGTTCATTTTAAATTATGACTTTACTTTTAACTTGCTTCTTTCTGACTTTCAGGTTGCCTCCTTGTTTGTGGTGTATGTTGTGGGGTACATCGATGCCTGTAAACTACGGAAGGTCATTTATATGCACATGGTAATGGTTTGCTCATTGTTCACATTTAGTTTGACCTTGAAGTTGACTAGGAGGTGGTTTGCCCTGTGAAACCCATCCTGTCTTAGTTCCACCGCTGCAGAAGGGCATTCGAGGCTGTGAGGCTGGCAGCACAGTGGCCCCCGGAAGGTTTGGAGTCGTGTTTGCTGTTGGAGGCTGTGCCACGCCTTTTCTGTCTCACAGGGAAGAGGAGTTAATGCAGTGGAGGGGACATCGTGTGATGCCCGTGTCCAGCTGTTAGGTGAAGTGGGTGTCACCCAGGGACCTGCTATCCGAGCCCAGGAACAGCATCAGGAGCCCCTGGGGAAGGAAGGGAGTCAGGTAGCGCTGTGTGGGCAGTGCTGGGCGATTGGGCAGCTTGTTGGGAAGAGGCAGGAATTAAAGGACGGGAAAGAAAGAAGGCAGCGCAGCGAGGCCAGTACCAACAGGGCATCCCTGTCAGGGTGGAGGTGGCGCTGTGGGCCGAGGCAGCCTGCAGGTCATGCTGGGCAGCGGGGTAGGGAGAAGCCAGGGTGGGCAGTGGAGCTGAGCGGGAATGACTGGTATGGGACACATTGGTGCTCTCTTCAGCATTAGTTTGATTTGATTTTTTCTTCTTCTGGTCATTTTTATAAATCTTAGCATTTCTGCAATATGCCATTTTGCTTATTCTGTAATAGTTGCTACCTGTATATGACATTTAAGCATAGGGAACTGTGACGGTTAGAACATAAACAGCGTGAGCTGCTTTCCCTCCAAAGGCAAAGTGGGGCTTCGTCCTTCTGTGAGGTCCTGCGTTCCCAAAGCGCACCCGACGCCAGTCGCTGTCCTGACTCTGAAGCGCCTCACTCCGCGATGCCTGTGTCCCCGTAGTTTTGGGCGTCACGTAATAGGACAGTCTTCAGGGGCTGCACCGGGGGACCCTTTCGTGAGTGAGGCTTGTCTTTGCTTGGGTGTTTGAGAGTTGGGTGCAAGCACAGTTGAGAGAGAACTGCTGCATTGTTTAACCCTGCATGGACAAGTCCAGCACATTTTCTTTACCTGTTCTTTGTCTGCTGAGGACTTTCAAATTCTTCGCTCTCCTTGCCTGCCTCCTTTCATTTATGCACAGTGCCATGCACTCTGCACGCCTCCCGGGTGTACATAACAGTGGACTTGCTGGGGGTAAATTTTGATTGTGTTCAACTTCAGAACTACGAAATTATTTCTTCTGAAATGATCTGGCTCCTTCAGATAACAATATATAACAGCTGTTAGTCTACATATTTTTAAAATCTTTGTCAGTCTGGTTGGTATAGAACGGCTTCTTGTGACCTAATTTACATTTTTTCTGATTCTCGGTAAAGTCAAGCATATTTAGTGTGTTTATAGACCTTTTGTGTTTCTGATTTTCTTGTGATATTACTATTCACATCTTTTACCAATTTGTCTAACTATCTAAGAGAAACTTTTAAATAAATGTGATGTTTTGTGTTTTCAGGTAATTTTATGTTACGATGTCGCTGTTTTTGTTCTCTCTGTTTGAGGTTGCATCTCAGTGCAGGGAAGTTGCGTAGCAGTCAGAAGGAGACAGCAGGGCCGCCCCCAGACCCCAAGGCCAGAGGGTGGTGGTCGTTGTTCCATGGGGAGCAGGAGAGCCGCTTTCTGCACCTGCTCAGATCCACTTTTCCCTCTTTAATCTGTCACCGTGATGAATTAACACACATTGCTTTTCTAATATTAAAGAACCTTGCTTTTCAGGCTAAGCAAAATTTTTATATATTGCTCTGTTGTTTCTCTTGGATTTTTGCACCTCTCTTTGTGACTGAGTCAGACAGTCATTGGCTTATTTTTTCCCAAACTGATTACTGCAGTTTTTTTCCACTTTGCAGGACAAACCGTAAATTAAATGTTAAACATTCAGAGTTGGGCAGTCACGTGGTCATATAGGCAGTTATGGTTGGACTGTAGTTTCTTTGCACGGTTCTCATACACATTTTGTTAGACTTACACGTATTCCATCTTTTTGGGTGCTAATCCAATAGCACTGTTACTAATTTCCACTCTGTTCATTTCTGTAGATGGGAAAGCAGTTGACTTGTACTATAACCTGTGTCGTGCAACCCTGCTCTAATTCCTTGGTGGTTCCAAGAGGTTTTTGCCGATTCTTTGGATATTTTTCATAAATAATCATATCATCTCTTAAAGTTCTCCCCTCCCAATCTTTATGCCTTTTATTTCCCTTTCTCGCTGTGTTTTCTAGACCGTCTGGCTGAGAAGTACTAGAGGAAGGGAGCCTTCTTGTCTTTTCCAGACTTTGGGAAGATCTTAGTTTCTCTCTGCAAAGTCCATGCTAGCTGTAGGTTTGTTGTGAATGTTCTTTATCAGCTGATGAAATTTCCTTCTTTTCCCAGTTTTTTGAGAGTTTTTACCATGAGTGTTATCGTGAGTGGGTATTGAATTTTTGTCAGATGATTTTTCCCGATTGTGTGCACTTCGTTCAGTCTATATTAATTGCTTTTTAAATGTTAAACCAGCCTCAAATACCAGGCATAATTCTTACTTGGTTCTGCCATATGATTCTTTTTATGTACTCTTTAATTTGCTAATGTTGTGGATTTTTTAAATGTTCTTGTTCATGAGAGATGCTGTCTTGTACTTTTTTGTAATGTCATTGTCTGACTTAGTGCTAGGCTAGTGCTGGCCTCGTAGATGAGGTATGGAGTATTTCCTCTGTTTCCCCACTTCCAGAGGCAACTGTCAGAGGTTGGCATAATTTCTTCCTTAGGCAAGACTGTTCTGGCATATTTCACAGTAGTACCTTTCCCCTCTTGTGCAGAGGCCCGGGGATTTTTCCTCTGACACTTACTGTGAGGACCGTGGAGCTCTTGGAGACAAAATTCACAAATATGTAGGCACCTCCCTGTGCCTGGGTTGACTGGAGCTTTAACTTTCACAGTTGTCCATGCTGACATTCCAGCAGTCTCCAGTTATAGATTCTGAGGCAGGGTCTTGCCCAGTCGCCGTGGCCCTCCCGCATCTGCCTCCCAGGGTGCCGCTGCAGCAGCTAGGTTTGCCTGTGCTCGTACTGGCTCCCACACGGGTCTGCGCGTGGGTTTCTGCTCAGTACGTTGCAGCTGCAGTTCTCAGTGTCTGCCTGGCTGTCCTTTCGGGGTGGCTGTGTGACTGCTCTTCTGGGTCAGAGGGAAGACAAACTGCTGATGGGTCGGTTTGCTCAGCTTTTTCCTCGAAGGACCTGCAGCCTCTCCTGCCGCCCTTCCACAGGTCCTCGTGTCGCTTTGATCATGCTTGCCCGTCGTTAGTTGTGTTGAGCATCTTCCTGTGTACTTCTTGGCAGTTTACAAGTCTCCTCTGGCGAGTCTTTTATAGTATACAGGTTCTGTCTGAGGAAAACTGTATTCACTACTGTTTGTATAAGAAGAAATGACAGGAATGTACATTGCTTTGGGGCCTAAAAATTCAGTAGTGGGTAGTAGATACAATGGTTCAGATAATGAACATTATTGAATAATTTTAATAAAAATACTATTTGTTGAAGCAAGCTGATTTTAAAATTCACATGGAAATTGATATGTACATTGACGAAAGGTAAATCTTCTAGAAGAAAATATGAATTATTTTGAAAGGATTTTTTAAGTTATGGTGCTAAATCTTGAAAACCTAAAAGAAAGAATGAATGATAAATTTGACTAACAAAAATTTGTGATAGTACAAAAATACCACAGAGTAAAAAAACAAAACTGGGAAAAACATTTGCAGTATGCTTGCTTCATAAGGAGCTAGGTCTGTAATTTGTGACAAGTCTCGTCGGATGTACATGTAAGGATGTTCACCTTAGCAGGAAAAACAAAAGAGTACAAAATAGACCCAGAAAGAGCTTGAATGTTGAGCAGTACCCACCCAGAGAGCACATCTATAGAATAGAATACAGTGCTTCTCTTGGTTCACTGAGTGAGATTGGGTTGGACTGGTACGGAAAGCCTCCTGAGACATATTAAGAGTAGAAGCAAGAAACAGTGCAGCTTATGTGTAGGTTCCCATATATGACCTTGAGCTGAAATGCAAACGGAATGTGACTCCTGTGCTTCATGGGAGGACGCCCAGGGAGCCGTCCCAGGGTCTCTTGGGGCAAGAGGTGTGGGATGAGAGGGTGCTGTTCTCATGATGTGTCCCATGCTTGTCTTGGGCCTTTACCATCGTGTGATTCTTACAATCAGTGTTTCACTCGTCTTACGTGTATTAATAGTATTTTTTCTTGGATTTTCGCAGATTTCTCTTGCACTGTGTTTTGTTCTGATGTTTGGGAACTCGATGCTATTGACGTCGTATTACGCCTCCTCTTTGGTGACTGTTTGGGTAAGTGTGACTTATGACTTAGGGACAGGGCTGATAGGAGCCTGGTGGAATCTGTTCTCTGACCCTGGCCCGGAATTCGTGAGGGCTGTCCACAGGCCCCGCGTCACCTGTCCTCTTGAAAGTATCTGCGTGTGGTGCATTGGTCAGGAGCCCACTCCAAGGCCGCATGAGGGGAAAGCCCCAGGGGCTTTCGTGCTGGGAAGCACAGCACCTCTTCCTGCAGCTGCCCTTGCCCTGGCTTTCTGCTCTCAGTCTTCTCCGGCCTTTGGTTCCCGTGCCTGTTCAGAGCAGAGTCTTGTGTTTCCTTCCTCTTTGTCCCCATCAGGCTAAGTATGAAAGTCGTCTCTGTTGAGGTGGCTTTGCCTTTTTCTCTCCGGTCCTTCCTGTCTAAAGCCCATAGGCCCATTTCTTCCACTGTCTTAATTGAGGGTATTGTACTTTTTGAGCAATTTAAGTCACTGGGATCATTTTTGGCTTTTTTGATTGCTCAAACTTATTTTAAAAAAATGAAGCCTCCTGTTTTTTCCATTTTACAAATAATGATTATTCAAAAACCCATTTCTCAGAAATGTGCCTTTTCCCAATCTGAGCCACCAGCTTTGTCATGTGTGGTATGCGACTATATTCAGCCCCAGAAATGAGCCCTTAGCATGTGGTGAAGCAACAACAAAAGCTAGCAGTGGAGTTGCTGTGCTTTGTTTAGTAGTTAGATTCGGAGTTTTTGTAATGAGGAAATGTGATATCCTCGGGCCCGTATTCATGTGGGTACTGTGGTGAGTCCTGTTACTACTCGTGACACAGACACAACTCGTGTGCCTGTGTATGGGAAGCTGTCGAGCTGGAGAGCACCTGTGAATAAGACCTAACTACGTTTTGTAGAAACTTCTTTGATTTCAGTTCACAGCTGCAGGACTATGTGGGAGACAGCAGGTGTAGCTTGGGCACGACGCTGCCTGTGTTTTGATGTATAAGATGCGTGGTACCCAGGATTGCTGAATAGAGTGTGTGTGCACGATACTTTCACATGCTAGGTTTGCCTGCTTCTCGTCATTCGAAACCTGGATTGTATTGTGTTTTGTGTTCTCACATCTTTAAGTTTTAATTTGGCTTCAGAGTATTTGTATCATGATTACCAGCCATATTTCTGCTAAGTTTGAAGTGGGCTTAGCTCCCTAACGGTGATACAGTGTGGGTGTCTGTGTACCAGAAAGAGTTCAGATTTGACAGAGAAGTCGTTAATTGATCCGTTCATTGTTTTAAACTTTTGTTTTATTCATACATGTTTGCAGCACATAATGCTTACACTCAGTAGGGGAGTTGGTAAATGGACGTACACATTTCAGTTCTTTTCCCTCCTTCCCTCCATCCCTTGATTTATCCCAAGAGTCAGTAAGTTTTAGCTTATGGAAACTTTCATGCCTGTATGACTAATATTATAACATTAAAATACCTCTTGAGTTTTAGACAAGTCTGACCTATGAAAATCAGTCCTGGAAATTTGTATCTGGTGATTCTCTTTTCAGTTTTACAAAGCCATTAACTGACCTAATTTCCTTTGGATAAAATAAAGCTGTTTCTTGAAATCATTGACAACAGACATGATCGTGTTGTGATACTGTGTGGGAAGTCAAAAGCGTGCTGGATTTCAGCTTCTCAAATGTGTAATTATTTAGAATAATGCTTATTTGGGTTTGTAAATGTAAGTTTTAACCATTGTTTTCTGTTCAGGGCGTGCTGGCAATGAAACCTCATTTTCTGAGAATAAATGTGTCTGAACTTTGTTTATGGGTAAGAATCAGTCTATTTTAACGCATACGTCTTTTCTCTAAAATATATAATTTATTTTATTTTACTTATGTTTCATTTTTTTATGCAGGGGATCCTACAGTTTTGTAACATATTAGGGCTCAATTTTAATGTGCCAGGTTGCCCTTTTCAGGAAGCAAGTCACGATCAATCAGGGCCAAGCGTAGTAGACTCCACTTTTGTTTGTTTTGTTACCCTGGTGTTTCTTCTGAGGGACAGGCATATGTGCAAGCGACTGTTACAAGGAGTTTAACTGCAGTTCCTCTGTGAGTCTCCAAAGAAATGCATTAATTTGTGAATAAGATTTTATATATATATGTATTTGTGGTTATGGCCTTTGATTTTGAAGCAGTATTATTTTAAACTGAAATGCGTTTTTATCATTTCCTCTTAGTTATATATTTATTTCAAATGTGGTGAAAGCATTTTTTTCTTTAGAGGTATACTTATTTGATATGTAATTAAAGCATTTATTTTTTTCTCCATAGGCTGTACAATTTGAAGCATCGAAGTTAGTTGTTTTATATTTTATTTTCTCTTGTAGGTTGTCCAAGGATGCTTTTGGTTATTTGGAACTATTATACTCAAGTCTTTGACCTCCAGACTCTTTGGCATTGCAGATGATGTAAGTGCATTTTTCCATAAGCATGAAAGATGTGAGAGAAATATACAGGCTAGGAGCAAATTACATGAGTTATTTTAATATATGTGCTGCGAAATGAACACACTTGCTTGAGTTATTAAAGTACCATTTTTATAACCAAATTCTGGCATGAAACCTGTTCACATAAGATTTTATCTAGTTAATCTAAAGCAAATATAATTCTGTATATAATTTTTATTTTCCAAAATAAATTTCTTGACATAATTCTCTTATTTTATTGATGCTTCAATATCACCATAAAAATTCAAAGCAAAACAGCCATGGCACATGAAGCCCGCCTTTTAAGGCCGCCCTTCTCCCCTTGCTCTCTGTGGGCAGTCAGCATGGCTAGAGCGGGGGTTGGTGGCACAGAGTGAGTGGCACAGAGCCGGCCATCAGCAGTGGGGCCATCAGTCCAACCCCGTGGCGCCTTCCTTCTTCTGCGCCATCTTTCTGGCCTCCTCTCCCCAGCTCAGGTGTCTCTGGCGACTGACAGGAGTCTCGGGTAGTCTGGGACCCTGCCTGGAGAGTCCATGTGGCTGTTTTCCTAGCTTCATGCTGTGCGTGGGGACTGCGGGAGGTCGGAGCCTTCAGTTCCTGAGAGAGGGGAAGGTGGGGTGCCCTTGGAGCTGTCGCTCACCAGCAGGCCACAAAGCAGTCACCGTGGCGTGATCCTCAACAGAACTCGGGCCCAGCTGGGGACAGTGGGCCCCGTCACGTAGCGAAAGCTGCCTAGAGCCATTAAGAGTAATATGATTATCACAGTATTTGGCTAAATGTAGTGGTTTCTTTATTTATTACCAGGCTCATATCGGCAACTTGTTAACATCAAAATTCTTCAGTTACAAGGATTTTGACACCTTACTGTATACCTGTGCCGCAGAGTTTGACTTCATGGAGAAGGAGGTAAGGGGTGACTTCTAGCTCTGTTCCCGAGCTTTCGGTCCATTTATTGTGCATGAAGGGTGCTGTTATTTCAGATTCTGTATGTGCTGGCATCTCAGCCGAAAGGAAGATCTGGCAGTGTACAGATGTTTCTGTTTACATAGTGCAGCTCCCTGAAACGCATGGCCCCTTTCATTGGGGTAATTTGGAAAGGATGTGATCAGACCAGCACCATTTTGGACGTGTGAACATGCAAGCGTTTCCGGCCGCCTTCCTTGAGAGGGCCCAGCACACAAGCCCTACCTTCCCATTCATTTTCTGGTTCTTTGAACTATCTGATTGCTTTTAAATATCATCAAGCACAAGTTTTTTATCCCAACAACGTTTCTCTTTCTAAAACTTACTCAGCTGTGCAGAAGGGAGTCGGAGAGTAGGTCAGCGGACTGTGAGACAGGTCTGCAGTGGTGCTTAATGGTCTTGAACCATTGGCTCGCATTTGTTGCATTGTAGTTCACCAGCTTCTGGTCTTCCACGACCAGCAGGCGTTGTGGAGACACAGTGAGATCAGTCAGAAAAGTGCTTTGATATCATAAGCAAAACACATTTTGCAGTACCTTGTGAGCTGTTCTGGTCCTGCAGACATGATTTTGCCTTTTAAACACCGTCCTGGTGGCACTAATTCACCGTATCTTATCTTACCCTCTGGGGTGCGTGTGTGTGACATTAAACTGGTCATGGCCCGCTGCTCCACTTCTGTTTCCCCTGACTCCTTTTGAAGTCGCAGGTGTTCCGCAGGTGTCATGCTTCCCTAGTGGCCTTGGTCTTCTATTACTGTATTTAGGGTTTTGACTTGTAATGCCTGATGATGAAAGTCGTGCCTGTTGAAAGCCTCAGAGAGAGATTATCTCTTAGACATTGAAATGTGTGTCCATCAGAGCCAAGACCCCTTCGAAGGAGCGGTAGGTGGTGGCAGCAGGAAGAAGGAGGAAGCATCAGTGGGGGAAGCAGATATGGAGGGAGTCCCTCAGCACCACCGAGGAGCCTGCCTCCGCGGCCTGAGGCGGCCTGAGGAGGTTGTGGGCTCTGTGTGAAAGGCATTGTCTGTGGAGGCTCAGTGTGACTCCGGCCGCCCAGAGAAAGGCAGAGCTCTTCCCAGGGTGCCATTCTGTCTCTTCAGGTGACCACCTGTAGGGACCATGCTGTTGAGGGAGCTCAGGGCAGGGAGCGTGATGCTTACCCTGGCAGATGTCATTGTGGAGACAGGTGGAGGTGTGCACAGGAGGGGCAGTAGTACGGTCTTACCTGCCTGCAGGTAATACATGTGGAGTGTAAGAAAGCAGAACTGCTCAGGGGTTTGGGCTGGGAATAAAGGAGACAGGATTGTGATATGTAGGACTTTGTTGTTAAGAACACTGTCATTCACTGATGGAAATGTAAAAACATCTTTTTGTTCTCTTGGGGTTTGTGCGTGCGTGCGTGCATGCGTGCGTGCATGCATACGTGTGTGTGTTTGTGTGTGTGTGTGTGTGTGTGTGTGTGTGGGGGCTTAAAATGTTCGCGCACACGAGAGATACGGATCTCTTGGGGTTTGTGCGTGCGTGCGTGCATGCGTGCGTGCATGCATACGTGTGTGTGTTTGTGTGTGTGTGTGTGTGTGTGTGTGTGTGTGGTGGCTTAAGATGTTCGCACCCAGGAGAGATTCAGAGAAGCTTACCATCTAATACTCTCTGCTTACCTCAGATGGGTGGGAAGTCGGACTCCAGACCAGCAGCATGCAGAACACTCTCTGGTCTCCTTCACGCTCACACGTCTGGGAACTGTGCTGTAGTGTTTTCTACTTGGTGAAATTTGTTTATGGAATGTCACATTCATTTTTTATAATGGGAGACGGAGTAAATGGGATGCTTGATGCTGAATATTTGATTTTTCTCTAATGTAGAAATTCGCCTGTTTCATATCTGAAATGAATTGTGTTTGGTTAAATAATGTTTTCTCTAAACAAAGCCTCTCTCTGAATTTCAGACCCCCATGAGGTATACAAAGACGCTGTTGCTTCCTGTTGTCCTTGTGGTATTTATTGCAATTGTCAGAAAGGTATGTCAGTCACTCAAGGGCCCCTCCTAAGAAAGTATTTTCTTGCTTTTATGTAGCAGTCATATGTACTTAGTGGCTGATAGTTGGTCAAAGTGTTTTGTTGATGTATTGAAACACACTCTGCATTTCCTTACCCATAGCTTTTGATGAGTATTCACAAGTCTTAGACAGTTCTGCTCTCTTCCAGCATAAATAGAAGAAAGGGATGAATCCTCTTTTGATATCTGTATATAGTTTGAAAGTCACGGCCAGAGACCACGTGCGACTTGGTTTTGCCTGTTTAATTGTCTCTAAATGTCTGCCTTCCTAAGTGAGAAGTGTCCAGGAACTCCTGAATTGTGCTCACTACGAACCACGCAGCAGAAACAGTACTTGGTAGTGTGTCGATGAACTAGACACGTGTAGACCCCCAGGTGGCTTCCACAGTGGCATTGTAAGCCCTGTGTCAGAATAGAAAAGCACCAGGGTTCAGGGAACAAAAGCAGGTGTAGTATTCTGGTTTCTAACACTTTGTGGACTTCTCAGCTACAGGTGTCTTAAATAATGGGTTGAGCTTAGTCTGTGATGGAAAAGAGGTAAAGTGTGGAACTTCTGATTGGTGGGAGTGGCTGAGGCAGCTGCAGCACCTGCCCTGTATCCGGAGTGGGCTTGGTACTGTGCTCCCTGTCCCCCTTCCCCATCTGCGTGGTGCTCCGTCTTCCCTGGGGATGTCCTCGCGTGCACGTTGCTGCTGGTTACTGGCAGCCCCATGGGGAACGGAGACCACCACCCCACCGGGCAGGTCAGGGGGCAGGTGTGGGCCCCGGGGCTCTGAGTGGCGTGCAGCTCTGGTGTGTTGTGCTTTTCTGCGCCGGGCAGTCAGTGGTCCGTGCCCAAAGATGCTGGGCTCCGTGCCTGCATGTGTATCCCCAGGAGGAGTTTACACCCGGCAAATACCTGAAACTGCTCAATAGCAGCCACAGCAGCCTTGGTGCAGATCATGGTGGAAATGGTTAGATCAGGTTAAAGAAGCTGTGTTGTTTGGTTAGGGAAGAAGAGATTAAAAAAGAGGATAATCATTTTGAAATATTTAAAACCCTATCATGGGAAAATTAAATTATGTTCCTTCTGGTCCTCACAGTTAGGACCGATCCTGGGCTCCCGACCAGAAAAGCCCTGGTGACTAGGAAGGTGCCCATTTGGGCAGCAGCAACTGGCTCTTCAGGGCAGGGTGGGTGGAAGCCAGTGGGCAGAGTGGTGCGTGCCGAGCCAGGGGCTGGGCTTCTGGTCTGGGACGGACCGGTGGCTGCCAAAGATGAGGGCACTGCTGGATGTGACGATGTCTCAGGTTGTGCTGCCTTAATTGTGATATTGTGAATGTCCTCTCCTGTCTCAGTTTTAATTAATGGCTTTTAAAATTTAGAAGACACTTAAAAAATTTTTTTTTCAAAACAGCATTTCTAAATGTTTAAAATTCTGTTCACAGATTGTTAGCGATATGTGGACTGTCTTAGCCAGACAGCGGACACAGATAAGGTAAGTATGCTCTGGAGCATCTCGTTCCTCCTGGCTGTTCATAGACTGAGGCCGAGTAGGGATTTTGTCCTTCCGTGTGTGTGTTGTGGTCTGCACGGTGCCCCAGCTTCTCCCTCCCTCCCCACCGAGCAGGAGCACAGAGTGTCACACCTGTCCAGGCTGCCCGAAGCTGACGTCCCTGTTAGCTCAGCAGGCTTTCAGTGTGAGCAAGGATTCATTCATACCTTACATTTTATACAATGAAAATTCCCAATGGAGCACACAGTGAAATATAGTCAAATGTAAAAAGCCAGAAATTACACAAGAAAATTTGCGTCTAGTCCAAGGTAGAGAGGCTTGGGAAGCAGGGTGTTAACACTTACGCACCGGAGGAAGATGTTCACAGAGCTGACCAAGTGAGTCCAAATGTAGACGATTCCGTAAACATCGTTCAAAGAAAAGACAAAATATTTGCAGTGTGTGATTGGGGTTGCTGACGGGCAACTTGGTTTTGTCTGTTTAATTATCTCTGAATGTCTGCCTCCCTAAGTGTGAAGTGTCCAGGAACTCCTGAGTCGTGCTCACTACTAGCCACGCAGCAAAAACAGTAGTTAGTAGTGTGTGGATGAACTAGACACACGTGTAGACCCCAGGTGGCTTCCTAAGTAAAGATGGCATTCTAAGTGAAGAGCTTCTACAAGTTGAGAAAAATGCTAGAAACACATTGGGGAATGAGTGGAACGCACAGAAGGCAGTTGAGAGGAAAATCCTCAACCATTCCTGCGTTCCAGCACCCGTTCCCCTGACTCCGTTCTCTGCAGCTGTGGGACCCTGTGCCCACCGCTGTGGCCTCTGCACCTGTGCATCTGGCTCGCCGGAGGGCTCGTTTCTCTGTCCATGCATACACGTCTTCCTCCCCGTTGGAGGGACGTGTCCCGGGCCTGGACTTTTCACCCTCATGCCCTGTATCGTGCTCTCTTAGCGTTTGTCTGCGCTTGGGCCTAGATACGGATGTGTTACCTGTGTCTCTGCAAGGGAGGGATCGTGGCTCTTCAACTCTGTGTGGTCTGCTGGGCACACAGTGAAGAGAAGCAGGTGAATGAGTCTCTAAACGTGAGTAGCGGGCAGTTGAAAGGTCCCCCATCCAGTGGTGGCAGCCTCAGGTTCACATGCAAGGCCTTCTGCTTCGCAGTTAGTGGTGTCCAGTGCACACCAGGATGTGAGGAAACAGGAGGGCAGTTCGTCGGCACAGGCACGTCTTCTAGACACACTGACAGAAGGGCAGAGATGTTGCACTATGAGAAAATTCAGCCTCCAGCATGGCGAGGAATGGTTCCATTGCGGTCCAGTCACAGTGGTCTCTATGGAAACAGCCCCACTGTGCATCACCAGAGAAGTTGCTAGAACAGTATACAGTCTGTAATCACACCTGTGTTTACTGTGTACTGGAGCGATCTAGAGGGAATGGAACTGTAACTGTCGGGCTGTGGGAGTAGAGAACCGAATGAGGAAGCGTGTGGTTCTGCTTTCATTCTTCTGTGTGACTTTGGGAGGTGGGAATTACCGACACTGTGTGTGTCTGATTTCTCTCACAACTTGAATGTGCCCGGGTTGCTTCCTCATCTCTAGCTCTGCCAGCACCATGATAAATGGTGTCACACCATCCCGGGGGCACCCTTTCTCTCATTTAGAAATACTTTGCCGTAGCTGTGCCCTTGCTTGGATCTGAAACATTGGGTTGCTGCACAGGGAATGGAAAAAGCTTCTAGTCTGTATTGCCGGAGTTTCTCTTCATTTGAGGTGAGATTACTTCAGAAGAGGTTGAGCAGAAGGCACAAAGTTGGAGCTCCCATAGCATGCAGCGCTGGGAGGGGAAGACGGGACTTCTCCCGGGGACACAGCTGTCCCTTGAAGGAAGATGCTGTGTGTAGACAGAGTCTCAGGACAGTCGAGCCTGTGGAGTTTTCAGTCCCGGAGGCTTGGTGCTCACTTTGGTAGGAAGGGACACAGCTGTCCCTTGAAGGAAGATGCTGTGTGTAGACAGAGTCTCAGGACAGTCGAGCCTGTGGAGTTTTCAGTCCCGGAGGCTTGGTGCTCACTTTGGTAGGGTGAGGTGTGCCAGCCTCTCTGCGTAAATCCCTTCCTCTGGGGACTCAGGAGGTGACGTGGGGGAGGCAGCATCGTGAGTGGAAGCATCTCGGCCGCAGTGAGAAGTGAGAAGACAGCCGTGGTGGCTGCAGGTCAGGAGAAGCAGAGCTCACGCTGTAGTGAGCACATTCACCTGATGTGATCAGTCAGCAGTGATTTGTACTCGGCCTGAAAAGAACAAGGCAGGGACCTCTCACCTCCTTTGCTCGCCCATACATTTCCTGAGTCTGCTAATGTGTCCAGGTTTTGAGCCCCAAAGGCTCAGGCTGAGCTGTGAAGTTGGTCATCGATAGCTTTGCCGAGCTTGTGCTCCAGGCTTGGACCCAGGGGCGGGTCGGCCTAAGGTGCTGTCAGTTCACACTTGGCCGCCTCGGCCCGGGCTTCTCCCTGGACCTGGAGACTTGTGCAGGTGGCTCCCTATGTCATCTCTGTGCTGTCTCGTGAGGCTCTCATGCCGCAGCCTTCCCGCCCGCACGGTGCCTCCCGTCTCTGGGCTCAGCTCCGGAATGTCGGCCTTGTTCTCCACTGCCCTGTACCTCTGCAGAGCCTGCACTGTTGCCTTCACAATGACATCCCCGCCGCGCCACTTCCCTCCCGGGCCGTGTCTCCAGCACCTCCCCGGACTCTTGGCTCGCACCCCCCTGCTCATGCTTGCCTCTGCCCTGGCTGTCCGCCTGTTCTCCGCACCACTGCTGTCTTTGAGAGGTCTCCAGGCACTCAGAGTGGTGGGTCCTCAGCCTGGTCGAATGTGTACCCTGGTCCTGCACCCGCTCCCTCCTTCACTGTCCTCCCTCTCCTGCCCGCCAGAGCCTCCCACTGCTGGGCCGCGGCGCCCCCTCTGCCTGCAGCACCTTCCTCTGCTCTTTGCCGCTCTCATAGCTGCACTTGTCACCATAGGACACGTTTGTTTGCCGTTTGTCTCTGGGACTGGGGTGTAAGCTCTGTGAGGGTGAGGGTCTGCTCCCTGCCACGCCTCTGTCTCCATTGTACTCAGCGCTCGGTAGGACTGAGTGCACAGGTGGACATGCAGGTGGGCAGGTGGATTGTACCCGACTCCTGAAGGGTTCCAGTTAGTAGGAGAGGCAGCTGATGACGCACCACAGACAGAACTGCTTTCTTTGGAACAAGCCAGGGCAGTGGGCAGGAGGGTTCCAGGAAGGAGCACTGGCTGTGGGTGGGAGCGCCAGCCAGAGGCCTTGGTGGGCTTGTCAGGGGTCTGTTGGGCCTGAGGAGAGGGATGCAGGAGGAAGTCGGTGTTCGGGGCTGGCAGTGGGGCGCTGTGTGTCGCCGTGCCATTTGAGTGTCCAGAAAGTGCGGGGTTTCCAGTGCACAAGCGGCTGTGAGGCTAGTGGTCGTGCTCACTGCGGGGTGAAGGTCAGTGGTGGGCCGGGCAGGGCCAGGCCGTTAGCCTTGTCCACAGCAGTGCTGAGAGCCTCTAGCTTCTCTGCTGCAGCCAGGGCCACTGCATGGGAGCAGAAGCTCTAGAGGGCCTCAGGGTTGTTTGCCACTCCCTGCTTGCTCAGGACACCACCAGGAGGGTCTGCATACTGCAGGGTGCTGTGACTGGCTTCATAAAGGCCGAAGCAGTCAAATACTTGGGATGCAGTGCAACATGGTATTTAAATAAACCAGGGAGTATATAACTTAGTTTTTGATTTACATGTAGGTGTCCTGGGGGAAGACTGTAGCCATTGTAAAACTCAGTCACAAGATAAAATGCAAATAAGTGAAGTGCTCAATAATGATTCAATAGCCGGGTCTTTTTCTTCCATTTCAGAAAACACCAGTTTGATAACGGAGAGGTAAATTCTTTACTCATCTTGACCTTTGTGTATACTTGGACTTTGTAGTTTCTGGACTTACTAACAATTATCATTAATCATCTTCACAATACCCCGGTGCGTGCTTTCGTGAAATGACACAGACTCACTGTCATTCGTTTTCTGAGGCAGTGAAGTAGGAAACTCTTGGTCTGCTGGGATAATCCCTGCGGTGGAGCCCAGGGAAGCACGTGGGGCCTGGCTTCCTCACTGCTCCCTTGCCCTGTGGCTCAGAGGTGTGGCCGCCGCCGCCGCTCTCAGGGACACCCAGCCTGCTTCTGCCAGTCCGCTCATGGTAGCGCCGAGGTTGGTTCAGAAGTGTGGGCTTTATCTGCTGCAGGCTTGACTCAGTGGAATTATAGAAATCTTTCCCTAGTTACTTTATTTTAGCCTTCTAAAAATGGTACAGTTTGAAAGTGAATCTTAGGAATTGTTTTAGAAATTTCAGAAACCAAACTAATACTAATTTTTGTTTGTTAAGAAAAACTAACCTTTTCTGCTTACTAACCAGTTTAACTGTGTGTTCTTAACCTTCACGAACAGTGGGATATGTAATATTTCCTTCTTCTCTCTTCCAGCTGGTCTATCACGCCTTGCAGCTGCTGGCATACGCAGCCCTTGGCATTTTGATTATGAGGCTGAAGCTCTTCCTGACGCCACACATGTGTGTGATGGCTTCCTTGATCTGCTCTCGACAGGTGACTTGGCGTGGTGGGGGCGTAGCTCTGTGACAACTGCACCCCAGCCTCAGCTGAGGGGGTCTGAAGTGCTGCTCAGCCACGCGGGTTCTGAGTCACTGTGTTTAAAGTCCCTTCCGAAAGGGAGAAGTCCGAGCCTGACTGTTGTCTGTCCACCTCAAAAGCATCCTGGGCACACAGCGGACACCACAGCACAGGCTGACCGTGAGCAGCCACCCAAGTGCTGGCAGGAAGCAGAACTCAGTTGTAGAAATGATTTGTTTCTTGACACTCACATCACGAGGAACCCTACCAATTGATTTCGGGTCATGAGCACCTTCACATTACATTGTTCTTAGATCAGGCTGACGTTCTGTGTACTGAGTGTGCATTTGCATGCACACCCGGTTTCCACTCTTGACAAGGTAGTTGACTGTGTCCCTGGCCGTTGGCTGCTAGTTTTCGTGCCTCCTGGCTCTGTGTGTCCTCGTCCTGTCACCTGTTGATCAGCCAGTCGGAGCAGCACTTGCTCTAAAGGTCGGGCTGCGTGGGCCCTTGGTGGAACAAGAGCGGCAGGTGGAAAATCACAAAGCCCAAGTGTGTCTGTGCCTCAGGGAGCTGGAAGTCCGGTGCTGTGGACGTGAGGGAAATGGTGCCAGGGGAGCAGCAGAGACAGCGCCGGTGCCGAGCGTGGGCTGTGTGGGGACCAAACCACAGCGTGGCTTCCCCACTGCAGGCTGGGCAGTGGGGGACACTGACTGATCCTGCACCTGCCTCTGTGCTGGGGACGAGGGAGCTGGTTGGATGCTTTGCTTCTGCCCTGTTGTGCTGCATGAGCCTGGCCTGGGGCCTGTGTGGCTACCGGTGCCCCTGGGCTGTTCCTGCTCTTGCTGTTTCACACTTCTTCGTGATTTTGCACACGGAACCTTGCCCGTGCGCTGAGTCCTGTGGTGGCCCTGGCCTCCCCTGGATCTGGAGTGTGGCAAGCAGGGAAGGCCCCGTACTACTCCCGAGAGCTGGTGGGAGCATGCTGACGCCGGGGAACACTTTCTGGCACCTCTCTACCCTTCCTTGGGATCATTAATCCTTATCTGAGGCTCTAGCCAAGACTGCATTCTGGTTCTTTTTGGTGCCAGGGATTGAACTGTGGACCTTGCACTTACGAAGCAGACAGCAGAACCGCTGAGCTAAATCCCTGGCCCTAGACTGCATTCCTGTCTGGAAAGGTGCTTTGCTTCTTGGATCCATGCTGCTTTGTACTGACAGCTGCCCATGTGCTCTCTCTGGTTTCAGCTGTTCGGGTGGCTCTTCTGCAGAGTGCATCCTGGGGCCGTTGTGTTTGCCGTGTTAGCAGCAATGTCGATTCAAGGGTCAGCGAATCTCCAAACGCAGTGGAATATTGTGGGGGAGTTCAGTAATTTGCCACAAGAAGAACTGATAGAATGGATCAAATACAGTACCAAACCAGGTAAAGCGCCTGCGTCGGGTGAGGGGTCAGCGCACACCCTTCCCCAGGGTACTGCAGTGCCCGTCCTGGCGAAGCAGTGCTGCTTCTGGAATAACCCTCCTGACCCAAGGACAGATCAGTTCTGACTCAGTGGTTTAGAGGGCAACTGTTACGCATATTTGCTTAATAATTGATTCTGCTACTTTCCACAAATTTGAATTTTTTCAGAGTTTATCCACAACTGTAAATGCTACATTTTAAAATAATTTTATTATGCTTATTTTCTTGACAAAATGTTCACATTAATCCTTCCTAGTCCCTCGGACTTGCAGGATGTGATCTTTTATTCGTGTTTCCAAAGGGAAAGTGAAAATTCCTTGGTGCTAGAAAGCTTTCCCAGTCCCTTGGACACTTCTTCCATAGGAGCAGAAAAGACTGCTAAGATTTCTTTAAAGCAAAGAAGTCCTCAGCAGCAGTGGAGCTGTTTTCCAGCGGGCTCCCAAGGCAGGTCTGCGCTCCGTCAGCCCCCACGTGGCTGCGTTCGCTGCTGCCACTGGATCCAAGTCTGACTCCCCACCGGGGTGGTGACCTCTGACATGAGTTGTGGGAGGAGCCTGGCCCCCCTGAGACCCTCTCCCTGCAGGTGCGGTGTTTGCGGGGGCTATGCCCACCATGGCCAGTGTGAAGCTGTCTGCGCTGCGGCCCGTGGTGAACCACCCGCACTACGAAGATGCAGGCTTGAGGTCAGTGCTCCCTCGGGAGAACCGGGTTTCTACGCACAGAACCGGCGAGGCTGCGCTGGGTGAGCCTCCTGCGCCTGGCAGAGACGCGCTGAAGCGAAACCGCTGAGCTGGGAGCGAGCACTGAGGACGCCACGGCGTGAAACTGTGCGCCTGGGGTTGTTTCAGCCAGCCGGAGACCGCGTGGCACCCTGCGTTGTCTGAGGATGGGCGGCGCCGGGCACCCCAAGGTCACCGTCGCCCTCGTCCTGCCGCTCCCCAGGCGCTCTGTGCCCTGCTGTGTCCCTTAGGGCTTGACGTTTAGAGGCCGCTTTTCTTGCATTCTGAGCCATCTGTTGAGATACAGTCCCACTGAGCAGAATATTGTGGCTTTTTCCAGTAGGGCCTTGTCTGAGTGATCTTCAGTGTTTGTTTTTTTTTGAAGTTTATTGTACAGTAATGCCGTGGTTCACAGATGCTTCTGTTCACACACAGCTTGGTTGGAAAACAAAAGCTTTTGGCAAAATCTTGTTTCTGTTCACAGACTCGACACAGGTGACAAACACGACCATGGCTGTCTTCCCCGCACAAACACAAAGCAGCCATCTTCCCCCAAATCAGGAAACAAATTAAGTTTGTCGGCTGAAGTACACTGTTTACTTCATAAACTGCGCCCTTGTGTTCTCATAGAGGAGGTAATAGATTCAGTGTTGATGCAGCTTCTAGGGTGGACGAAGCTATTCATTTCCTGAGTGATTAGGTGAATCTTGTTAGTATATTCTACATAGCAGCAGGATGCACATTTATTAATAAAAAGCTTTTGCATTAAGAAAATCAGTTTCAGCACACTAATTTCCAGAGCAGCTGGTCAAGTTTAGTTTTTTTGAATGTGGAGGACAGTTTGTGCTGCGGACTGCTGGCGTCCGGGTTGGGGACAGCCGTCCTGGAGTTGTGTTTTCCATGTCTCTTCCACGCGGGCTCCTTGCTCCTGCCTGGGAGAGACGTCAGGAGTTAAAATAAGCAAGAACAAGCAGCAAGCAAAACGGAAACCAAGTGGGAAGCCGCAGTGTGCTCTGCTCAGTGAGAACAGCCGCTGCCCTGGCTTCCTGCGTGGTCTTTCCCGCAGTGCCACCCCGTGCTCTCTTCCCGGGAATACTGACTGTATCCATCTAACCTTGGTCATGTTTTCTGCCTACTTGTTTTTCTTTAAAGAGCTAGAACGAAAATAGTGTACTCTATGTACAGTCGAAAAGCAGCTGAAGAAGTGAAGCAAGAGTTGATCAAGCTAAAAGTCAATTATTATATTCTGGAAGAGTCATGGTGTATAAGAAGATCCAAGTGAGTATTCAACACTTTTAATATTTTACAGTCCTGAAACGTGGAAAGTTAAATTAGGCTCATGACAAGCCTTTTGCTCACTGTACGTGAGAAATATAGAACATTTTGCAAATTATAAATGTGAAGAACTCTTTAGATAGTTATTTAAACTGAGTTTTTGCCTTTCATTGTAAGTGCTTGTTTCTCTATGATGCAGACCTACCTTAACAGGGTTTCTCTTGGAACTGATCGATAACTCCCAAATTATTCACATGCGGTATAATGAAAACATATGGTGAAGGTTCAAATGGTACACGCTTACTACAGTAAGGGACACATTGCCTTAACATACTCCCCCACATTTCGAACACACTTATCCCATCCGTCTTATGACTTTCTGGAGCAGCTCTGGCAGTCCTCTTTCGTGACTGTCTTTTTATCGCACTGTTGGGGGCTGGCTTGAGGTCCTGAATCAATTCAGAACATTGACCTGTCATGGGCATTTAACTTGGGGAAGAGCTAGAAGCCACGCAGTGCCAGGCCTGGTGAGTAAGGTGGGTGAGGACGCGGCGTCATGTTTACCAGCCCGCCTTTCTGTTGGACGGCCCTTGGCAGCAGCACTCACTGCACCCTGGACCAGCCTCAGAGGCCGTCGAAGGAGGGGACTCCAGAGCTGCTCCAGACGGTGCCCAGAATGGTGTGGTGAGGGTGTCCGAGGGGAGGGAGGATTTTCAGGAAGGTGCGTCTTTTACTGTGAGAAGTTTGAAAATGCTTTTTTCACTGCAATTTTTATCACAACTTGCCTTTGATATTTTAAAAACTGTCACTTAAAGTCTTTCAGAAGACTCCCGGCCAGTTGGTCCAAATCCTGGCGAGTCCCTCGGCAGTGGATGACAGGGCCTGTTGGCATCACACGGGCCCCTGACAGCATCAGGCTAGAATGGTGTTTTCTTTTCATGCTGTTTCACAGCTTATTCGAGTGGGAAGATTTTGAATGATTTTACTGCGACCTGCAATCTCTTGGGTTTATGCTTTAAGAGAAATTCCATGTCCATGGAAAAGTTCACTTGCCCGGGGAGTGACAGGTATCAGGGAGACCAGCGGCGCCTGTAGATTCTGCAGTGGGCTGTGTGGCGGTGCTGTGGGCGCGTGGCAGACTGCAGCAGCCTGTATTGAAGGATGGGCCCTCACGGCAGGAGGAGCCCAGCACATGAGCAGTTTCGTGAGAAACCGAGGCTACTTTATGAAATGGTACTTTAAAATTCCTCCCGGATCTTGGCTTCCGGAGGTTGCCGTCTGTGGCTTGGCTACGCTTGCCCCCGAGGACTTCCATGGCACACAGGGTGTGAAGGCAAAATGGCGTGCAGCTTCTGGAGCTCTGGAACTGCGTCTGCAGCACTGCCCACGGGAGGCTCACGTGGCGGCAAATGCTTTGCCTGTGAATGTGCCTGGCAGCTTGAATAGTGCAGGATTTATACAAAATGTGACTGCTCTTCTAGTTTAGAAACTACCGTGTGAGTGTATATGAAATCCACACTCACTGTGCCTAACTCTGTTCTGTAAATGTAGGCAGAGAAGCTATGTACACCTCTCCCAACAGCCTGATGGGGACGTCACCGTAACGCAGCAGTGGGCAGATGTCTGTAGTAGGAGAGCTCAGTTTCCACCAGATGTTTATAGAATTAGGGTCTTCACTCTGCCATTTGTTACTGGAAATAGAAATAATTCGCGTAACCTTTTTGTCCTCCAAGCTGGAAATGAACCTCAATTCAAGAGTCTCCCTTTTTCTTAGACCTTGGCGTAGCATTTTGAATACACACTAGGCCACAAGGCGTGGGCATCTGGGTCTGAGGCCTGGGTAGGTAGAGCTCCTCAGAACGACCTGTGAGTTCTGAGGGGCAGAAGTTTTACGTATGTACCCGCGATACCAGAAAGGCGAGTTTGGCAAGTATGGCCATAAACGTGCACAAGGGGAACCTGCTGACAGTCGGCTGGCTTTGGAGCACTGTGGCTCTGGACGGGGGGTGGGGTGGGGGGCCGTGTCCCTTGCATTCTCCAGCCAGGACCTCGGCTTGCTGGGCCCTGAGGCTGCAGCAGAAGTCACAGGCTTTCTGTCATCAGCTCCCACTCACTGACTGAGTGGCACTGTCCATCTGTGACAGGAGCGGCCTCGCGGACACCCACTCAAAGGGCCACAGGCTGAGACCGCACCAGAGCTGTGCGCTGCCTCGATGGGGAACCCCAGGGGACCTGGACAGGAGAAGAGGAAGGAGGGAACGGGCTGCCTCGTGGTAGCATTTACCACAGGAGTGGCTGCGTTTGGTGACAGCCTTTTCTCAGAATGGGGTCTCCATTGCTGTGGGCTCCCCTCTGTCAGCTACGCCAGCCACAGACACGGAGTCTGCGGAGATGCTGCACCTCGCGCACCCAGGTTGTCGGATGCAGGACGGGAGGAGGCTCGGCTCCTGCTTCGCCTGTGCCTGCCGGGCACAATGGGGCCCTGGTCTGTAAGGCTTAGTGCTGTGGCGTCGTAGTCCTTAAATGTGCTGTGCTCATGTGCGGACACAAGTGCTGACGTAGCTGTTCTTTTACTCTCAGTTCTGTTTTATCTCAGTACTTAGAGTAATGGAGTTGACCTAAACGTTTTTAAAAAATGTATTCAGAAGGAAATTTTTCAGATTCACACTAATCATTATTGAAGATGGGAGTCTCACCACATTACCCAGGCTGGCCTCAAATTTTGGGTCTAAAGCAATCATCCTGCCTCAGCCTCCTGAGGCCTTGGGCCTGCTGCCCGGGGACCCACAAAATGGGCATTGTGTGTGGCAGGCAGGCGCATAAGGTGGCTCTCTGCCTTCTCTTTTTCCTAAGAGGCACTTTTCTGCCTCTGTTCCCTCTGGCTGTGTGAGAGAATATACGACTGGGACCAGCGCCCAGCCCTGAGCCCACGACATTCAGTGTTGGTGCGGACTCCGGCACACGTGCTCTGGAGCCCTCAGCAGGGCCGCTCACAGGGGCGTTGCGGGAGAGTCCTGTGAGGAAGTCAGAAGGGCTCAGGGGCCTGTGTGGCCACTTTGGAGCGTTAGGGAGACCCTGAATAAAGTCTGTTTGTAGCGTGTGCTTGTCTGTATGTATGTGTGTGGCCGAGCATGGGTAGGAAGAGTCCAGCAGGGTCATGTGCTGCGTTGTTGGGGACGTTACCTCTGAGAATTGACCCTGGGGATGAAGGTACTTGTTGGACATGAATTTTTTCATTTAATTATAAAAAGGAAGCACCCATGACAACACAGCGGTTCTCAATTCTCTATATTTTTTCATGTATTTTTGTTTCCTAAGATTTCTCAAAAAGTAAGAAAGTGTGAACTTTGTCAAACTCCAAGTTACATCTGTAAACTATCAACGTTTTCATACTCCACCAGTTGTATCTATGAAACTGTTCTTGATGTAAGTGAAATGGCACAATTATTTTGGAGAACCTATTTAGGCAGGTAACACTTGGTACCAAGATTTAATTAGGTAGTAAAATTTATGCATCTTCCCTATGAATTAAGCATACTTACCAATTTTAGTTTTAAAAATCAGTGTATCTTTTATATGCTGGGCATAGTGCTAGGTACCTGTGTTCCGGTGCTGTGGTGCAAGTCCAGGCATCCCGATCCTCGTGAGCTCCTGGGCAGCCTTTTGGAAGGGGCCTGAGTCACGGGCAGTCCTGCCGACCTGCTGCTGGGAGGTGGAGTCTGGTCCAGAGAGAGAGCTCAGCCCCTGGGGCGTGACAGAGGGTGCCCCTCCCGCCGGCTCCTATACTGCTTCCTGCTACCTTGAGGGAGCTTCTTCCTGTCCCTGGAGAGGGCCCAGGGGACTTCTTTCTAGGTCCTTGGTGTCTTGGAAAGAATTGGACAAGACACGCAGAACAGGCGGCGAGAGTACATTTACAGAAGGCCAAAAAGAAGTTCACTCTGCAGGGCCAGAGTGGGCCGGGGAAGTCTCGCAGAGGCCTGAGTGAGGCGGGGAGTTTTCTGTGGCCTCCACCTTTTGCAGATGTGGCGCCCTAGCAGACTCTTCTGGCAGCAGACCTTTGCCCTCACCCACGTGGTGCTGACTTTATAGGCCTCTAGGAGGCAAGAGGTGTGGAGCTGGGAGGGCTTCACCCAGATTTCAGAAGTGCCCCAGAGAGGGCAGGGTGTGAAGCCGGAGGTGCAGTGGAGACCGCAGGAGGTTGGAGAAAACAGGCAGGTGGACCGTCTGCTGAGGAATCCCACGCGGTGAGCAGAGCCAGCCCCAGAGAGGCCATGTGTGGGGCTCACGACCTGTCCAGGTGCCGGACACAGAGCTGCAGGAGCTTGTGTTCACCCTGCTGGGTTTTGGTCTTGCTCGGTCCGTTCCCTGCTATCCTCTGTTCCTTCCTTTTGGAATGGGCATGTTTACCCTGCGCCCTTGTGTGTTGGCAGTGTTTAGCTTTCCAGCTGAATTTTACAGGGGCTTATCGGTGAGACTTTTGAGGAAGTCTCAGAGAGACTTCGGACTTGGACTTTCCAGTAGACTTTTAGAGGCCGACCGATGAAATGAGCCTGAGTCTTGTGGCCCAAGGGTGGCCTGTTACTGCTTAATTCTAGGTGTCCTTTCAAAGCCTCCACGTGCACAGCTGGAGGTGGTGGGAGGTGATCCAAGAGCTGGGGTCTGGCTGGAGAAGGCTGGTTCCTGGGGGCGCGCCTGGGAGGCTCTGCCTTCCTCCTCACTCCTTCCGTCTCCCTGCCTGAAGGCAGCAGCTTTTCTCTGCTCTGCCCCACTTCCGGACAGTCCTCCTTCAAGCCAGCAGATTATGTGCCAAAAACATAAGCCAAAACTGAGCTCCACTCCCTTAAGTTGTGGGTGTCAGTATTTTGTCCCAGCAACAGGAAAGCGACTTAGATACCTGGGTAACTCTGCATTGTCCAGTGGGGAAACTGAGACTGAGTGGGTGTGATTACCCAGCATGTCTCAAATACTCGAGGTGCCATTTACCCAGAGCCTCTCTTACTCCAGCACCTGATGTGTGTGTTCTACGAGTCTGTTTCCTTCTGTGGACTCCTTTGTGCTTTCACCTTGTCCTAGAGAGAAGTTGCAGCAGCTTACAAAACCTAATTAACCGTGGTAGGAATTCTTAGCTAAATTAATTTAATAGGAAAACAGTGAAACAAGGCCAGACATCTGAGTGTGCAGTTGGGTGACGTGCGTGGATTCCTTTTCCTAGGCCTGGCTGCAGTATGCCTGAGATTTGGGATGTGGAAGACCCTGTCAACGCCGGGAAGACACCCCTGTGTAACCTCTTGGTGAAGGAGTCCAAGCCTCACTTCACCACCGTGTTCCAGAACAGTGTTTACAAAGTCCTAGAAGTCACACAGGAGTGACAGCCACATGAGCCGCTGCTGACCGACGACCGGACGACCGCATCAGCCATGGTCTTCATGTTTTGCTAAGGAGTCATGCATTGTTTTGAATTCAATCCCAAGGTTTTTATAGGCAGCTTCTCAAATGGGGACATCTTATTTGTCCGTTTGAGTGTCATTCTGGCTGTGGAGTGACTCGCGTGCTTGTCGATGGGCCGCTGGTTCAGCACACCTGGGAACTCGCTGTGCTGGGGGACGGTGCCTGCCCCGACCTGGGCGTGCGCTGTGGTGTCAGCTGCGCGCTGGGGCAGGAGTGGAGCTCCTGGGGGTGGAGATGTCCATCCTGAGCCGCGCCGCTGCCCCTCTGTGCCTTGCTGGCTCGACCCCGGCCCGCTTGGCACTGGAGCGGGGTCCTCGGTGAGCAGCTGCGTCATCGCTGTGGTGTCATCCTCTGCTCTTCTTGTGCCCTGTTGCTCTTGTGCATGAGATTGTTCCAGGCTCTTAGGTCCGGCGGCGAGGACCAGATTCCTTTAGCACCCAGCCCTGTGCATCATTGCCTCTCCCCGCCACCACATTTTGTCAGATAAGTGCTGTTTGCTCATTATGTCGCTCATCAAGTACTTGTTCCTGGTTTAAAAAATGGTAACTGTGCATCTTCCTCATTTTTAGCATTATTGAAATGTTTATATTTTAATACCTTTAAACTGTTTTAAAATTTTTCATATTTAATTATAGGTTAAAGACAAATTATTTTGAAGAACCCCAAATACATGTATCTAGAAGTAGACGTAATATGCAGTAGACAGTAGCATCTGATATTTGACTAACTTTTCGGTCAAAAAAGTTAAATGAGTAATGAATGAATGGAGTTTTTCTGTTTTGCTTTCGAGATTGCCTATCTTTAATAAGACAGAGCCTTAACTCCTCTGTTAGAATTTTTGCTTCTAAAAACCAATATTTCAGTGCGAGGAATGAATATACTCAATCTTTATTTTTTTCTTCCTACTTTTTATTTAGAAAAATTTCCAAATATGCTTTGAAATTCTTGTATGAATTTTTGTTTCTTGGAAGTTAATTTGTGTGAAACGAGATCATTCAAAACAATGAATTGTCCTCATTTTGAGAAATGGTTTTCCGGCTTTAATTCTAAGCAGACCCTGAGCATGGCTGAGCACATATACGATCGCAGTGCTTTCTTGAGCACAGGCAGCTTCCCCTCCCTGAGGCTTGTCCTCAGGACCTGGCTCCCCTACTGGTTTCTGGACCTGCCCCGGGAGCTGTAGAAGAGCTGCACTCTCTGCCTTCTCAGCCTGGTCTGGGGGCCCTAGCTGGAGTGTAGCAGGTGCCGAAAACAGCAGGGTGGCTGAGGAATGAGTGTCCTCACCTGGCCCCAGAGCCCAGTGCGTCTCCTTGCCAGGGGTCAGCCCAGGAGACTGCAGACTTGGGCTTGCTCTTTTTTACTTGTTAGTTGACAGTTTTATTTCTTAGGGTTCTGTACATTTCAGAAAATAGGGACGTAGCTGCAATTTGTGGATTAGGGATCACATCTGAGCAGTAAGGCTGCAGCGACCTGGAAAAACGGGAGGAGGGCACTTGAGACGTAGAGGAAGAGCCAGAAGGAAGCCAGGAAGACGTAGGGTCAGAGCGGTGCTTGGGCTGTCCGCAGCGACCCCACCTGAGTGTGCCGACTTGGTACTCTAGCAGTACGGTGTCAGGCATGCCTCTGAAGTCTCCCTCCAACAGTTCCCTTTTCTAGCAAGTTCACGTGGAACAGTTGGGAATTCTGTACAGCAGAAACCATTAAAATGCCATTGTGATTACGTCATATGCTGGGAAACATTAAAAGTAGCCTAAATTAGTTTTTTCAGAAGAATCCTTTTGTAATAGTATTTCTTAATGTAACCCCACCAGCACAGAGTGCTTCTGTCTTGGGAGTCAGTCTGGAGCAGAGGCCTTGGGCCTCCACGCTGCTGGGCACTTAACGGAGTTGCAGTGGGTTCGGGGTACATGCAAAGCAGTATTAAAGCTCAGTATTTTGCATATTTTTAACATTTAAGAATATTTTTGCTTTAGTGTGAAGACAGGATGGGCAAGGAGGTGAAGGAAGTAGCTGCTGCCATGACATTTAAGAAGAGCCACGCTGGGGCAGTGGCTCCGTGGCAAGCCGAGCCTCTGAATGCCTGGCAGGGAGAGCACTGTTGAAGTAGGCCAGTGCAGGGAGGGGAGGAGGGTGTGTCGGGGTCCAGGGAGACTGCATAGGAAGCACTGTATTTTTATGAATTTATGCCACTTGTCTACATGGACTATATGTTAAATAAAAAAGACCATGAAAACATGTAGACAGTGTTTTTCTTTCCTGTCCTTTTCGTTTCCACCTGGACTGAATGTGTCAGTTTGTAGTTAGGCCAGGTTTGGGTCCCTTGCCGTTCTGACAGACAGGGAAGGAATTGTGGAGGAGGTGTGACCCCTTTCTCTCTCTGGGCTCTTGTCCTGCGGCGACAGAAGAGTGAAGCCACTAGCACAGTGGTGGGGAGCAGATCCAGTATGGTTTATTAGAACAAAGAAAAACTAAGTAGTTGAGTGGGCTCCAAAGGGAGGATGCCAAGGAAGTGCCCAAATCCCAAAGTTTATAGCATGGTGTGAAAGGGGCAGAGCGACCTGTGGAAATGCAGGTAAGCGATTGTCACTGCCTGCCAGGCTTATTAGTTCTTTGTCCTTTGCCTTCCGAATGTTAGCGGGCATCAGAATCACCTGGAAAGTCCACAGGTCTCTGTCACTACCCCAGAAGCCTCAGATCGGGTCGGTCTAAGGTGGGATCCCCAAATTCACGTCATTACCCTTTGTTTGTGCCAAGACCATCCTTGAGACCAGAAGTTACTGGGGGCCTCCAGGGGGTGCTGCTTTCTTGACAGCACAATTCCATGGTGCCATCAGACTGTCCCAAGTCTGGTGCTAATTTTCCACCGTCAAGGGCACTTGCAAGGGGCAGAGAACAGGTAAGGTAATTTTTAACCAGAATACTGATGTGAGTCATGGATCATTTAATATTGGAAGCTATCAACTGGACCTTCTTTTTGGTTCTGAGAAAATCCTGTGAAATCGGAGTAAACAGATAAATTCAGAAGCATGTAGGATTTAAAAGTTTTATTTTCCACTCGAATACTCTTGACCCCAGACGCCAGATTTCCCTGCATCCTAGAGGTCAGCTAAGAGTCAGTATAGCACGAAAGGTCTCCTGCCTTCCCTTGTTCTCCTGTATTCCTCAGACTGTATCAGGACAAATACACCTTCACGTCACAAACTGAAAAGGATATTATGGTGCATAAAGGTCTTGGAAACTCTTTTTTACGTTATTTCCCAGGAGAGAGGACTCCAAATGATTCTAAGAGTTGAAGGATTTTCTCTCAAGATTTTGAGTCATTATAGTGTAATTAAGAGGTAGGATTTTCTTTCATTGTGTAGAGATTAGGATAGCGTTGATACCAGCTCCACTTTCAAAGCAAATGTTTTCTATGCTCAATTATCTCTAACCCAAAACTAATTACTTTACACACAGTGTTGTCAAAATGGCTTTCACATAAATGGCAGGGATACCTGATATGTTTGCAAATGTGTGCTCTTTTTAATGCAACCTAATAATCATTTCATTGATTTTTAAGTACCTGAGTGCAGTTTTCCTTTTGCTGTATGCAAAGTCAGTGCCTTGGGGGAGACAATTGGATTTAACAGAATTAGGCTGATTGAGTTGCTGCACTGATGGCTCTGACAGATGTAATCCTCACCCACTTAATACAGAGCTAGACACAGTATAAGCAATGGCCGTTTCTGGGTGGGTTTGGCGTTACCACGGGGAACCTATTGGGAAAGGTGCCTGCAGGCAGCTCCTGGATGGCCTTGTCCTGGTGACTTGAGCCTGCTGGTCTCCACGCTGGTGTCAACTTGTCACCCGGACATCAAGGGCAGAGTCTGTCTCATGTAGGAAAACTCTCTTTATAGGGTGTGGCTTGGCTCGCCCTGCAGTCCGTGATGTCAGTAGTGAACTTGGCTTTTCCTAGCTAGGCCCCCATGGCAATCATTTTTTGTCTGCATGTTGAGGTAACTTGGGGAGTTTCAGAAAATATTTAAAACTGCCAAGTACACACCTGTAATAATAGCACTCTGGGAGGCTGAGGTGGGAGGACTGCAAGTTCAGTCCCTCCCTGGGCAACTTGGGGACTTAGGGGGACCATGGGGGACGTAGCTCAGCGTGAAGGCCCTGGGTTGTCTTCACACTAAATGAATGATGCCCTGGAAAGGCCGGTCTGGCATTAGAAATTGTTAGAGGGCCCGAGTGCTATCTTGAGCACTCAGAGGCCCACTCAGAGAGGGCATTGTGAGCGGCGCCTCCCAGCACACATCCCTGTATCAGCTGTGACTGACAGTCAGTGTCTACATTATCTTGGCTAATGGAGGAGACCGGCACTGGGCAGGTACCTGAGCAGACTGCCCTGGTACAGCTCTGACCTTGGCAGGGAGCAGGGGACAGCAATAGTACAGGTGCCACTTGTATGTCTTGAGTAGTGTGTCGGTGAGGGGTCCAAAGCTAGCAGCAGAGAGAAAAATGCTACTTTAAGAATCACTTTGACAAATTAGTATGTGTGGAGATGCTTCTCTTGGAGCACGCTTTAGCTGTCAGTAACAAGTCAGACGTCACGTGCCACGCACACCCCTCATCCTGCCCAGCACAGTCTGCATCCACAGACCCCGGCCTGGGTTCTGGCAAGTCATACTGCTTAATGAGTTTTGAGATAAACCGTACTCTGTACAACGATGGTAAATTCCAGATGGCACTACAGTTACTTTGAAAACTTAAAGAAATGGAAGCTCTCTCTTCTTACTGTGGAGAAGAAATAGTAAGGAAATAGGAAATCTTCAGCTGAGATTAGTATCACGGATGGGAAAAAGAGTTCTTGACAAACAGCAAGGCAGAGGTTCACCGCGTAGCACCTGCGCGCCTTGGGAAGTGATGCGGCAGACATGTCTGTCTGCCTCCGGGCGGCGGCCCAGACTTCCTGGGCATGGTGCTGGGAGTGTGGGTCCCAGAACACAATGATGGCCACCCAAGGGCACAGTGTTCCTGACCAGGGAGTGAGGAGCCCTTGTGATTAGGGGAGAGTCTGGGAAGAGACTGGTGTGTTGTTACTGGATGATGTCAACACAACAGATGAGAGCATTGATGTCATGTTAAAGCAGACAGATTGGAGTCCTGATCCATCCTTTACAAGCTTGGTGAAACGCATGTTCCTTAATTTGAGCATCAGTCTTCTTGTCTTCCAAGCTGACATGTGTCTTAGGGTGACAATTAGAGGCAAGAGAAATAGATAAATCTACAATTACAGGAGGAAATTTTAATATCGTCTTAGGCACTGATAAAATAATCAGAGCAAGAGAGCAGTAAGGAAATAGATGACTTATAGAAGAAGCAAAGCAGACTCGACTTAAGGGTCATATGCAGAACAGGACCCCAACACGAGGAGTGTGCATGCATTCTGCTCACACAGGACTTATCCAAGAAGTGAGCGCACCTCTGGGAAGGCCTGGCTTTCCATCTGCTTTGTTGAGTGCATGTGGAGAAGGGCCTGGCACACATGCGTGCTTTGTGTGTGTTGAATGAAAGAACCAGTCATGCATGGAGCCAGGTAGCAGTTCTCAAAACAAAATGATCGAAAACCCTTCTGTGGGAAATCAGCACAAAATGCAGAAATACAGTTTTAAGTATCAAATTAGGTACTGGGGATTGAACTCAAGGAGTGCTGAGTTATGCCCCAGCCCTATCTGTTTTATCTGTCTGTCTATCATCTGTC